AAAGCTAGACAATGCTTTTGTTCAAATGTGTAAACATTTCAGACGTAGTGAGACGTATATATATTCGTATAAAATATTGAGAAAATCTTTGAGATTCTAGCCCATTGTATGGCGTTTACGAAGAAAATAACTTGCGAGACTAAAGAAAATCTCTTGACTCATCAGAGCTCTTTATTTAAACGAGAAAGACGAGGAGATAGCCAACATGTTATCGCCAATCGCTTGACTTGCCAGCAGGGCCTTTCAGAGGGGGGGGGGGGGGGGGGGGTAAAGGGGGTTATTTGCCCCGGGCCCCAGTTTAAGGGGTGTTGATCTGATCAGATGTTGGTCTGAAAAAAGGGTTTTACCCATGTTTTCACAGGAATTTGTCCGGAGCTTGTCAAAACTGCTATAAACAGTGCTATATTAAACTGTGAAATATTAAAATCTACGGTGACAATCACATTATTGAATACATGCGAAAAGCTAAAAGTGACTCATGAAACGCAACGTGACAGTGAGAATAAGTCAAAGGTCAATGAGGCTTGTTATTGTGAAACATGTCACAATTAGGTTAAAATGCGGAAACGCATACGAAACGGAGCGGATCCACGGAACGGATAAGGGGATAAAATGCGGAACGGAACGGATGGGGATAAAATGCGAGTTTTTTCGCCTCTTTTACGTTTCTGTGTTTTCGATTTATGTTTTTTTTTGTGATGGAATGTAACGTCGTAGTGCTTGTTACACTATCCTAACCAAACGTTGTTTAGTGCGACAAATCATTGTTTGCCGAAAGAGTTGATGAAAATACAATGTACATAAGACACCGTAGTGCCTCTATATGGTGTATGGTCTATAGGGGAACGGTTGTTATACACTATTGACGTACATTTAAATTTGCAGGGCCCTATAATTCAGTTAAATGTGAGCTATATAACGAAACCGCGGGGATATACTGTATATATAAGTGTCCATTTTAACTGCTTAATTATATTATTCATGCTTGTTTGATTAAAATCTTCCGACTGAGTTGGGACCGGGAAACAACACAAACATAAATTTCGGTGTGTATAGCGCATGTCTACATTTTTTTCTTTGCTGTTCTTTAGCTGTTATTCGAACGTTGGTCGGCGTGGTGGAAGGCAGGATGTTTCTATTGGTTATGGTTGTCTTAGACTGGGAACCCCAATCCACGAGATAAAGCATGTACTTGGGTTTTTCCATGAGATGGCTCGTCCTGATCGAGATCAGAGTGTTGAGATTCATTGGGAAAATATTAAAGATAGTAAGCAACTTTTTTGGTATACGCTTCTCATAAATTAAAAATAAGGTATTTTTATTATATCTGTATTCAATTTCCAATCTAATGGAGAGTAATTCTGTGCTATTACCGTGAAGTCATGATAGCCTGAGAAAGAGGTGTTGATAGCATCTTCTATAATGTTTCTATGCATGTATTCAGAACTTTACGCCTTACACTGAACATTCGTTTACTTTCTCCCATTAAGGCCCGTTTACACTTGCTGAAACTTTAGTACTGTCCAAATTGGATATATAATTTATATATATATATATATATAATGGTTTGATGTCCCACATTCGTGAGACATCAAAGGTAACTATTTATAGTGGTTACTTTCATCCTGCTCATCAGCACTACACTGATGAGGCCCAAAAGGCCGAAACGGTAACGTCTATATATATATATATATATATGTACCATCTGAACATTCATAATTCATCCACTCGTTCACATGCGTCAGAAGAAGAAAATCGCACTAATTGCAAAAATTGTAAACCGGCCTTTATGCTTGAGTGCATTTCCTCAGCCCTGTTTTATACTGGGCGAAATGACCATAATGAAAAACACATCGAAGCATTGAACACTTCATGGGTTAATCTGGCTTGGGTTAATGTTTAATTCCCCAAAATTAATTTAATCAAAATAGAATTCATATTAGATGTATTTTACATTAAAACTGATATTCTAAAAGAGTTTTGCCCGGTAAAGGTGAGGACAACATTTTTGCAATAAAATATGAATAATGTAATATATATATATATATATATATATATATATATATATATATATATATATATATATATATATATATATATATATATATATATATATAATTAATTAAAGTTCTCCGGATTGAAATATACTTTTATTGAGCTTTCGATCGACTCGGTACTTCGAGCCTTCTTCAGAATTCTTCTTCGAGCCTTCTTCGAGCCTTCTTCATTCTGAAGAAGGCTCGAAGTACCGAGTCGAAAGCTCAATAAAAGTATATTTCAATCCGGAGAACTTTAATTAATTATAATATGCCTGGATTACAAATCTTTAAACATACATATATATATATATATATATATATATATATATATATATATATATATATATATATATATATATATATATATATATATATATATATATATATATATATACTATAGTACATTATCACTAATAATATATGCATGCAAAAATGTTAAGAAGGTGATTGTTAACAACTGACATGACAGTACTTCGTATGACCATAGTATGACAGTACTATTCCTATACACCACCTGCTTATGAATTAATAACCTCTCCATGTTCTTAAGGCGGATCTCCACTGGACGATTCCACTGGATCGTCGCGACGATTTAGAGAGAAGTGAATAGACCATAATTTTAATATTTTTAATATTTTTAAATTTGAACTCTATAACTTTTTCAACTGAAGTTATGAATAATTTTATGCATCTAGATATTCTATTGTAGTATAATGAGACTTTTTACTGATGTTTTAACCTAATAGGTTACAAATCGGTATTTTATTAAATTATTATAATTATTATTAAGTGGAGATGTACTAGCAGCATGGAAAAAAGCGTGGAATCTTATTGGTTAAAAATTTGGCGATCGTTGGCGCTCGACGAAAAATAGAAGTCAATCCTATACTTTTCGTCGAGCGCCAGACGATTGCTCTTTGAGCATTTGTTTTTTCAATTGCGCTGCGCATGTGTCGTCGCGAACAGTTTTGACGATCGTCTCAAAAATCGTCTAGTGGAGATCCGCCTGTATAGATGGAAGGTTTAACATTGCTATTATAGCAAAAAATATTCTATTTGTTTTTCAGAGTTAAAACATAATTTCAGAAAAATACCGAGATCATTGGATAGGAAGCTTATTCCCTACAACCTTAATGTAAGTGTTTTCAAATTATTCCGAATAATTTCACGTCTGTGATAATACGCCACGCCGGCATGATTTGGGGCGAGTCCAAGCGTATGGAAAGCCATAGCTGTCCTAAGTGATCAAACGGCATCTTGTTGTGTCCAGTGAACTCTAGTAAGACTGGAACGATAACTGCAGGTAAACATGCCCAAACTTGCCTGAAGCCAAAATGAAGCAAATCGCGCGAGGAAATTGCTCTTAAGAACTAAGGAGAGTTTCGAGGAGTGAGAAATTCAGTCAGAGTTTATTTTCGACGAAAATGAGCAAGAAAAGTCGTTTTTCATCAAAAGACTTCAATTTTAAAAACCCAAATACGATTTATTTGATAGTTAGAACTGCTTTGCATCTCATAACAGCGAAAGTTTGAAAGGTATTGTGTCTGTTTTGATAAAGACGACACTAGTTGAACGTGCCGAAGTGCTCTTTAACTAAAAAAACAACTTTAAAACATAAATCCACGGACCAATACCTGTTTTGTATTAAAGTCTAGGTATAGTTGTTTGTTTTGAGTGCTTTTTGACATCTCTAAAACGTGAATAAATCGATTTTTCCGTAGAAACCCCCCGTGATTTGCGATTTGTCGCCCGGGAGAAGTATCGCGCGCTGTGACTTTCAAAAAAGAACTGGGGAACTTTGTAACTTTGTTTTTTTTAACAAAAATACGCTGAAAAATTAGGTTTTTCGTCCGAAGATTTCAATTTCAAAGATTTAAACTTGGTTTTCTGGAATCTGGATAGTTCTAAGTATTCTGCATTAACTAGCTGCAAAAACGTTTGAGGTATCAGCTTTATATTTGAAATATTTAACAAATTTGAACGTGCCGAAGAAAACTGCGCTCTTCAACTCGCGAAAAAATAAGGTTTGAATCTCTCTACGTTCACGAAACTTGTTTTGGAGTAAAGTTCAAGTATTGTTGTTTGTGTAAAAAAAATCGGCGTCCTTTTGATGGTGTAATTTCGGCCTTTGGCCTTCATGGCGGCCTTCAATTTGTCCTCAAAGATGGTGGCCGAGTTGTCGTTCCAGTCTTATTAGAGTTCACTGGTTGGGCTTTAGCATTATATGCGGTGCTTTCGGCATTATAAGCAGTGCTTGGAGCCAGTGTGTTTGGACAGCGGCTTACGCTGCTATTGCATCATTATGTGGTAATAGTGAGCCAGTATGTTTAGACAGCGGCTTAGAAAGAATAATATTTTTATTATACTTCATGTCTCGAACATATTGATACTTCGATCACATATTAACGTTTACAGGTTTTGCGACGGCAAATTTTCGCAATATATTTAGAGTTCTTTGAAGGGAAAAAAACGTTTACTTTGAACACGATTAATTTTAAAAGAGTGCTATTTAGTGTTATATAGTTTTTTTGTCATGGACGAAATACTTCGATCTCTGGGCATGTTTTTAAGTTTAGATATAGATAATGAGAACTACATTGGTGTCCTAGTAATAATTTTATGTCACATTAGTCCCTAAATGTTAGATCAAAAAGTGTATACCATGGCCCCTCGACTTCGTTTTCGTGTTTAAGTTTATTTCCACATGTATGTGTTGACGAATGATGTTTCTATGCATATGTTGACGAATGATGTTCTGCTTCTGTGACCATGGCCCGTGAGAAACAAATTTGAAATATATTCCATTTAAGGTGGTCTAAGTTGAAAACAGTGTAGTTGTGACGTAATTACCGGAAAGATCTATTGGAATGGAAACGTGCTTTTCATTATTGTCGCTGACTCGTAAACTGCGAGTGTAGTCTACTGCTTCGCTGATAAGCACTTCTTTGCGAGTTGACTATGTCGTTAATTTTGATTATATATATTCCTCCTGTAGTCTGTAATGGAGTATAGTAATGATGCTTTCTCTAAGAATGGTGGCCATACCATAACTGCGAGAGGTGATCCCTTCAGAAGATTTGGCCAGCGTTTTGCATTCAGTGTTGGAGACATCGTGGAAGTAAACATACTGTTCGGATGTCCTGAGTATAACAGAAGATTTGAAGGTGTAGACCGTTCTACGATTATGTATCCATAAGCATGGTCAGAAAAAGAATGAATAAATTATAATTTCTTATGGCCTCGTCTTACATTTTTTTGTCTAAAAAAAACGAAATCCAAATTTAGCATGCCATTGTGCGTTAATTACTCGGTGTATGAACGTAATTTTTTCATAATCATAAATATCAGCCTTTTGGCTGTGGAAGGACAAGTTTTTCACCATCATAGAGAACAATTGAGCAAATACGAGTCGGACAAAAATTGTTTGTCGAAACACCTAATTAAAGCAGTGCATAACAAAAGCTATATAGGAAAAGCAATTAATCACGAATGTGTCATTTTAACAATGAGCTCAGGATGTTTATGATAAGATGTTTATGATAATTATGCATACGCAGGTATTTTATTGAAGTGAAATTCATCAACTAAAGTCCTAAAGGGAGTTAATTTTCAATAGTTTTAGACCCAATTCTCAACGGTTGGAAATATGTACTTTCAACAAACAATTTTTATCGGACTCGTGTTGGTCTCTATGTCAAACAAGTCATTCAACAGCCAAAAGCCTGATCTTTATGATTATGAAAAAATTACGTTCATGCACCGAGTAATTAACGCACAATGGCATGCTAAACTTGGATTTCGTTTTTTTAGACACCCTGTATTATGAGCATATAGACTAATATTCAGGGCTGCGAGTAATAGTTGTTAAGTAATAGTTAGATAAAAATGTGCGTGCATGCCCACTGTTGTGACATGACATGAAGATCTACAAAAATTGGAGATGGCGGACATTTCACTCCTTTCGATCAAAATATTTGTAGAATTAAGCAAGATATGAAAAAACGGCAAAAGAGTATTATATATAATCTTAAAAGTTCTTTCAAATGAGAAAATAAAAAATATATTACCATTTCCTTTAATACTACATATTAATATGCAACACCACTCTAACAACTACAACAATAGTGAAACAATGATCACATACAGTGGTCCCAATACAATTAGAGTACTGTTGTGTCTTAGGTTTTACTAGTTTTAATCGCTTCTATTCGCTTGCACAATATGTGTTACTTCTCTGCTCTCGCTCGCCTAGCTAATGCCTCCCACGAGGCTTACCGGAAGTGACCCTTTTATGGCAACGATAGTATATGGCGTAGGACTGAAATTGGTTGAAAATTTATTCGTTTTCTTTTGCCTGACCAGAACACGATCTCCAACTCGTAGTTTACTTGTTCGTGTATGTCGTCGAGAGTCTGCATATTGTTTTCCCCTTTGCTTTTGTTCTTTGTCATTTTGCTTGGCTTCTCTATGTCGGTTAATAACTTTGCTGTTGTGGGGAAGTGTGGGCAATTTTCCGCGAATTTCTCGGTTATATAGCAACTGAGCAGGTGGTACCTTTGTGGTCGAATGGGGGGTAGACCGATACGCCAACAAGAACTTGGAGAGCTCCTGTTTCCAAGGCCGTCCTTCGAGGTTCGCCGTTCGAATAGCCTTGCCGAGCGGCTTCATGAACGCTTCGACTTCCGCATTCCCCTGAGGCCACAGAGGTGTGGAGGTATTATGCTGGATTCCCATTTTGGTCATGTATCTGTTGAATTCATGTCCTTGGAAAGGTGGCCCATTGTCTGAAACAACCTGCGAAGGGACACCATGCCGGGCAAAAACTGCATCGAGTTTCGGGATTACATTCTTGGCAGAGATCGAAGACAACACTTCTACTTCCGGAAATCGAGAATAGCAATCGAGGATCACCAAAATATACTGTCCAGTCGGTAATGGGCCATAGAAGTCAATCTTGAGTTTGTCCCATGCTTTGTTAGGTAGCGGGGTGGACCGAAGGGGTTCTGGTTGACTTGGTTGCCCAGTGGCTTGACAAGCGAGGCACTTTTCAAGTTCTGCACGAACTTTTTTGTCCATTTCTGGGAACCAAATGTGTTCCCGTATCAACGCCTTTGTTCTGGCCTGCCCTTGGTGCCCTTCATGGGCCAGCTGTATGACACGTTGGACCAATGATGAAGGGATTACAAGTCTGGTGCCCCGAAGCACCACATTGTTGGTGTAGTCAATAGACAGTTCATCTTTGATGGGCTTGAACTGTTTCAGTTCACTACTGGACCACTGTCCCGTCTGGATTGCTGTACGTACCAAACCAAGTAATGTATCTTTGCTGGTTGCTTTGCGAACATCGTCCACTGTAAGTGCGGGGAGGACTGCTGTGTGTGTTACGAAATGCACGTATTTGTCTGCAATGTTCGTTTGCTTTTGTTTACTATCAGGGGGGTGGCGAGAAAGGTAGTCTGCCGGATTTGTACTGCCTGATTTATAAACAACCCGAAATTTATATTGCTGGAGGCGTAAGAACCAACGCTCTATTCGGGCTGGTGGTTTTGAAATTGGGTTCCCAAAGATGACTTCGAGGGCTTTGTGGTCGGTATACAGAGTGAAGGTTGCACCATACAGATACAAATGGAAATACTCAATACCCCACACCACGGCCAGCGCCTCCTTTTCAGTTTGCGAATAGCGTCGCTCGGTAGAGGTAAGAGCACGACTCGCATAAGCGACTATGTTTGGGGGTGATGAAGGTGAATCACGTTGAGCTAAGATCGCTGACAGCCCCACTGGACTCGCATCCACTGTCACTTCAGTGGCTTTGTTGACATCGAAGTAACTCATCACAGGACTGTTAATTAAAGCCTTTCGCAGTGTATTATATGCATGGTCCTGTTCCTGAGTCCATATAAAAGGTGTTCCTTTGTGGGTGAGTTGCCGTAATGGTTCCGTGATTGTGGCAAAGTTGGGGATAAATTGTGAGCTGTAATTGGCCATGCCGAGGAGGCTTCTGACCTCACTCACCGTGGTAGGCATAGCAGCAGTAGCCAAGGCAGACACCTTCTTAGGATCTGGGCGAATACCGTCCGCTGAAAAGTTAAGTCCAAAAAATTCAAGCTTAGGTTGCAGAAACTGACATTTGTCCAGGTTGAGGGTCAACCCATGGGTGTCAATGCGATGTAGACACTCATCCAAGGTTTTGTTATGTGCCTCGTAAGACGATCCAAAAACTAAAATGTCATCGGCAATGTTGCGGACTCCTGGAATGTCATGCAAAACTTGTTGCAGTGCATGTTGGAAGATTTCTGCGGCCGAATTTGTGCCATAGTTTAAACGCTTAAAACGAAACAATCCTGCGTGTGTGATGAATGTTGTGATTTGACGGCTTTCAGGGGCTAACTCAAGTTGGTGATATGCCTGTGTAAGGTCTAATTTTGTGAAGAATTTAGCCCCATTTAATTCATGCGAAATGTCATGCACCGTTGGTATGGGGTGTCGAATTCGTTTAATAGCAGTGTTTGCCGCGCGCATGTCAATGCATAGGCGAATATTGTCGTCTTTTTTTGGCACGATGACGATTGGAGACACCCATTCGGTTGCTTCGGTATCTGGTACGCGTTCAATGATGTCCTCATCCTGTAACCGACTTAACTCCGCATCGACTTTAGCTCTCAGGTGGAATGGAATGCGACGTTGGCGCTGAGTGACTGGTTTTACATCTTTGTCAACAAGCAGTTCGACTGTTTGATGTCGTAATTTGCCGAGACCACAAAAAACATTTGGATACTTCTGGACAACACGTTGTACTCCCTTATCTTTGATGGATGTAAACGTTGGTGGTGTTTGGGATGATTTTGTTGTTTGTACTGCATTCAAAATGCAAACTGATTAGTCCCAACTCTTCTGCAGTTGACCCACTCAAAAGGCAACCACCGTTTGCTTTTGTAACATAAATAGTTGTCACCGTAATCTTGCGCCGTGATTCCACAATGGTGGTAAATTTCCCATTCATTTTAACAGGGACGTTTGAATTAAATGCATAAGCTTTGATGTTTGTTTTGGACAATGTATAATGTCCCAATTGCTCAAAGGTTTGTTGATCTATTATGTTCATACTGGATCCAGTGTCAACTGTAAACTTTACGTTGCGATTGTTAATCTTCAACTTTGTGTAGGGGTTTTGCGCCTTTGTATTGTTAACTGAATAACAATAATTGTCTGAGTCACTTGATTCATTGTCATTGTCCGAGACATTAAGTGGCCGAATAGGTTTGTTTTCATGACGTCCTTGCCATCGTCCACGGTCTTGCCGCTGACCTCGCGCCACCGCAGGCGCAGATCGACACACTCGCAAAATGGTTCAGTTTGGAACATTTTCGGCATTCTTTGCCCTTTGCTGGACATATTCCCGTGTTGTGTGCCATTCCGCGCCACAATTCCTGCAAACCCATTTTTGCGATGTCTTTTCAGCAGGGGTATTGCGAACAGCATCCACAACAGCATCCTCGTTCATACCGGTTTGATTGTTTCTTGTATTTTCCTCGATCTCTGCAGCTTGTTGACGACTTCGTTCACATTGGCGGCCCAAAACTAGTAGGTCTTTCAATGTCAACTTGGGATCACGTAAGGCTTGCTTTCGGAGTCGACTGGAGCGACCACATAAGACAATTTGAACCATTATTTCAAAATCTGGATCAGCAAACTCGCATCGGGTAGATAAACTCCGCAATCGCGTATAATATTGGTCTAAAGTTTCGCTGACGTCTTGTCGTGCCTCGCGAAATTTGTACACCTCGTACAATCGATGTTTTTGTGGTTCAAAGTATTCGTTTAGTTTCTCAACCGCCTTGTCGTAGTCTTTGTCATCTCCATTATCAGGGATTTGCCGAAAAATTTCGCGAACTCGGGCGCCTGCCTGGTATAAAAGCAGCGCTCGCTTCTTGGCTTTGTCTGTAATGCCGTTCGCGGTAATGTACATCTCAAAGTCTTCCATCCATATTTTCCACTTGGGGCCAATATTTGCTCCAATGTCCGAGTCAGGATCAAATGGAGGCATTGGATTTACTATAGGCATCGTCGCCATCCTCGTCGCCAATGTTGTGTCTTAGGTTTTACTAGTTTTAATCGCTTCTATTCGCTTGCACAATATGTGTTACTTCTCTGCTCTCGCTCGCCTAGCTAATGCCTCCCACGAGGCTTACCGGAAGTGACGTAACACTACAAGTACGAGGCTTTGTGAAAGAAGTAGGTGGCTATATGTGGTGCCGAAGGTACCACTGACTCGTCTGGGGGGTGGGGGGATACGTCTCTCTGTGAAACTTCTGAAATTGAAACCCTCGGAAATGGCATTCCACCCATTTTGGATTTGGAAGTTTTGTCATTTTATCCAATCCAAATATTTAACAAAGACTATTGTGTAAAATTTATGTTAGAAAAGCCAGAAACCTTTCCCCTGACATTTTTGCGGTAAGGAGGAAATATTTTAGTTTGCTATTTCGAGAAATAACCGGCGATTGTCTGGGCCGTATAGACGGCGAAAATCGCCGGGTGTCGGTTTCTATTGGGAACCTTGACGTATATCACCATTTTACGGAGATATTGAGATACACGTAGGCTTAGCGTACTTATTTTTATATATGAAACCGTTTCCCGACGTTTTGTAATTGTGGCCGCCTAAAATGGCGGGACTTTAAAACAAAAATTATACATTAAAATGTCTATAGGCCGTTTGCTGTGACCTTGAAAAGTGCCTAGAAAACGATTTTCATTTCCCATGTCTTGGAACTGAACTTTTTTACGGAACTAACACTTTCGAACATGCTGAGTTCAAATCCGAAAGTTCCCGCTCCGTAGACCCGCAGTTTTTTTCACAAACTGCTATTTTATCTTCACTAATGTCACGAAAATTATTTCCATTGTTCAACGACATGGATGGATGACGACAAACGATTATGTCAAAAGAACCAATTTCTATTAACCAGTCTTCCTTTTAACAAAAGACCGTTTTGCTCGAACCATGCATTTTGAGTTATGTAATCTTATGCGTGTTGGACGTGAACAACATATCTTGTTTACAACTTTGAGAAGGTACAGTAACACTTTCTAAAATCCTCAGTTCCGGCTCTATCTCTATAAAATCACAAGGACGTTAATGTCAAGTCTTTGGGCTATGTCTCTGGTCTAAGAAAGAATTCCTTACATGCGATCAAAATGTTTTATACCACGATGTAAAACGGTAATCTTATGACGTAATGGGTCAGCATTCAAATCTTCAACACAGTTTCTGAGACGTAATTTCTGAGAAGTTTCAGTTGGTGTTATTCTGCACGATAAGCGAACCGAATACTATTGGGAAAAGGGCTTCCGTTATACGTTGAAATCACCAAATAAACAGCTCATGAGTCATGCACACATTTCTCCACTTTGTCGTAAGTTTACAGAGCAGATTTTATACTTTGGCACTAATCTTTGTCTTTGATATGAACATTTGTTCTTGTAGTTTAAGGTTAGTTAAGATTGATCCTGTCGTAAGTCTTCTACAAGCAACCCATCGACAATATTTCATTGTAGCGTTGTCTTTGCCGCCACGTCGGCGCTTCAGAGTTATTTTTCAGACACTTAGCATTAACGTCCAAAACACTTAGCATTAACGTCCTTGTGATTTTATAGAGATATCGCTAGAACTGAGGATTTTAGAAAGCGTTATCTGTACTTCGCATGCAAAGTTGTAGACAAGATATGTTTATACGTCCAACACGCATAAGATTACATAACTCAAAATGGTTCGAGCAAAACGGTCTTTTGCCGATTAAAAAGGAAGACTGGTTAATAGAAATTGGTTCTTTTGAGTGACATAATCGTTTGTCGTCATCCATCCATGTCGTTGAACAATGAAAATAATTTTCGTGACATTAGTGCAGATAAAATAGCAGCTTGTGAAAAACTACGGGTCTACAGAACGGGAACTTTCCGGATTTGAACTCAGCATGTTCGAATTCAAAGTGTTAGTTCCCGTAAAAATATTTCAGTTCCAAGACACCAACATGGGAAATGAAAGTGAACGATATCGGGATGCAGCTAGCAAACGGCCTAGTCTTGTTTATACCAAGCAAACCGGCAAATTTTATTATAAATTCTGAAAGATTCAAATCCGAATTGCATATCAGAAACGAATTACTGAAAACGTTCAAAAAGAATTACAATAAATTTATTATTTTATAACATTTATCTAGAGCCGTATAGAGGGCAATTTTACAGCTGCTAAATTAAGCCCCATACAGATATACGGACGAGCAAATTTTGAATTTTCCTTGATCAACAAATGTTTAATTCCTTAACAAGTTTCCCTTGGCACGTTTTATTGCTCGGGTGCACGGAATGTTGTTAATTTTAGAAACATTTCTTTCACGTCATGCAAGGCGTAGGCGGCCCAAAAATTGGTTCAGAATGCACTCAATTTTATAAATAAGCTCGCCCCATTCCTCTGACATTTGTCGCGCACCGCAAGCACTCAATGAAAAGCACTATGATTTATCACGGTATTAACCGTGGATTTATGTACTAGATAAAACATTCGCAACCTATCTTTATCTGATATACAAACTCCAGCCGAAGGCGAGAGTTTGTATATCAGATAAAGGTCGGATGCGAATGTTTTATCGTACTTAAAAAACGACCCATCTTTTGAGTTCATTGGCGAAATAATTTTAAAAATAAACATTGTGTATCAGCCGAGAAAATCAAAGCTGAAGTTCATGTAAATCAGGACAAATCTTTATCCGATTTACAAACATTGATTAAACAGTCATTTCTCTTGAATTTTCTTCATGAATTATTAATGAGTTTATAATGACCTATAATTATATATACAGAATACATAAGGTTGGCGACTATATCGAAGCTGACGAACATATGACTTCGACAAAACGCAAAATATTCCGCACATGTAGATAAAACTTGATAAATAATTATAGAACATTAGACCCTGATAATTTTTCTATCTACTCGCAAATAAATTTGTTTTAAATACTGCAAGAAAGCTGAAAGATTTGGCAGAGGTTATTATTCTATTCATCATATTTTCCATAAAAGTCTGCGATTCAATTTATTGAAAACGTAAACAGTTTATGACGTATTTAGAGGAAGAACTTGGTTTCAGAAGGGGAGTGGTTGAACAATGCTTTTCATTGAGTGTTTTCGGCGCGCGATAAGTGTTAGAGGAATGGGGCGAGCTTATTTATAAATTGACATATGGTGTATTCCACACGTATTTTTGAGCTGCCTATGGTCAAGGCCGCATTCATTGTCAAAACCATTTTCTTCCCTTGTCCAAAAGCTGGCATGACCTACATACGGACAAATTATAAACTTGTTAAGAAAAACTTGGTCGTCTGTACGGGGCATTAAAATCAATATAAATGAATCGCATTGAAATCAAATAATACAAATGAATTACATTAAAAACAATCCAACTGAATCACATTAATTAAAATCAATATGATTGTATATCTAAATGAATCACATTAATTAAATCAACATAAAATAAATCGCATTAAAATCAATATAAACGAATATTTGTTCATACACCTTTCTTCAATATGAACGTTTTGGTCGTACTTTCATCTCGGATTTTTTCAGAACGTTTCTAGACCTCCAATGTCTCCATATCATTCCTTTGTATGACGACTGATTTGCTCCCAGGTACAGTCCATTGAGATTGGAGTAACTGCACCTATTGTACCACCACGCTCCCTTAGTGTAATCCGCACAATTTAAGCTGCCCGATTGCGACACTCTTGAATCCTTGGTTAAAAACCGCCGTCCGTCGTGATAACGAAGAGAGTCGCCTGCAGTACCTTAAAATATGTTATGAACAACAGCATTTAAATACAAACGATATGAAATAGAACATATTATATAACACCTGAGTAAATTATCGACTTTTATTATATGGCAAGCATCACTTTCAGTGAAATGGCGGACTGTGATTGGTTGAGAAACACTTTCAGCGGTCCATTACTTTCCCGTAATGGACCGGCGGTCCATTACGTAAAATTAAACGCATGCATTTTAAAACAAAACAGCAAAAGTAATTGAAAATTTGAAAATTATAATTTAATTCTTTATTAATAAGATATCTGCGAATTGTTATAGTGGAAAAGAAGGAATACATTGGTATTTTTTTGTTTTCTTTGACCAAATGTGTACCACGTGCACCACGCTACTAATATGCATTTCAAATCATGCATTTCTTGTTTCTTTCAAGTATAAATGCCTATTTAAATGGCATTTTATTATATGGCAAGCATCACTTCCGGTGAAATGGCTAATATGTATTTCAAATCATGCATTTCTTGTTTGTTTCAAAATGCCTATATAAATGCCATATATTAATAAACTTTTTATTAACCTCGCTTGCTCGGTATGTACAGAGAAATATCAGACCTCAATCTTTTTGTACAAACCTCGCCCAACGAGCTCGGTCTATATAAAAAAGACCTCGATCCGATATTTCTCTGTACAGACCTCGCGTTCGGTTAATAAAAAGTTAATAATAAACTTTTTATTAACCTCGCTTGTTCGGTATGTACAGAGAAATATCGGACCTCGGTCTTTTTGTTCAAACCTCGCCCAACGGGCTCGGTCTGTACAAAAAAGACCTCGGTCCGATAGTTCTCTGTACAGACCTCGCGTTCGGTTAATAAGAAGTTATTAATTCGCTGATTATGATCATGGTATTGAAAAAATAAATTAGCATTTCATGCATAATCAAGCAATGAAAAGTCCCATTGCACGGTTCAGCCCACCATATGCTAGTCCAAAATTGACCAAACCGACCAAAGCCAAACCGACCAAAGCCTTCGAGTGAAGGGCCTAGGTCTAGGCTGGGTTTAGCCATAGCCATCTTATATACACTAGATAGTGCATCTAATTATTCTGCAATTCAAAAATTGAAGCCGTGATTGCAGACTCAGGATAATCCCATGAAATGAGAAGATTCGTATGTTTTCTATTTCTTAAACATGGAACTTTTAAAAACATTAACCTATTCCAAATACATTTTTAAACTATTCAAATGATGAAAGTTATTGCTGTTTTTAAGCGTTTATTAGCGAGTGGGTACTGGGAACTACCAACATGGCCGCCATCTATTCAAATGAGGGTAACCGCTGGAATATTCTTGACTTCATTTTTACTAAGAGATGCGCTATCTAGTGTATATAAGATATCTATGGGTTTAACCATAAACATTCTTAAATTCCATCGGTCAGAATCCTAATCATATTGTAACTTAGTTCATTTAACCCACAATGAAGCCGTTGGAATTAAATTCAAATCCATAATTCGCGAAAGTAAAATGGTGGTGTAAAAATATATTATTTTACGATAATTTTGAGTTCATTTCATTATATTAATTCTTCATTAAAACATTCTTGGGACTTTTATTTTATTACATAAGATGGTGTCGAGTGCATGGATTCATGGTTCGTATTGTTTAACCGCTATTATATGAAATCCAAGATGGCCATGATATGGACTTTGTCAAATAAAGAAATAGAACGAAGGGTGTCGGGAGTTCTCGTATATCTGGAACTGACTAACATGATTGTATCAAAGTTCGTGATATATTATCATTTATCATAATCATTAGTAATTGCTTTGCATAATCTTCATTATGACCACACTGTTTATTTCAATACTATTTTAAATTTACCTGTATAACTACCAACGGTCAACTGATATTTGGAAGATTCACCAAACACGGCAAATCGTCTGTACTTAGCGTAAGCTTTGTCGCCATTGAAATCTTCAAGATCAACTCTTAAAGAAAGTAACCATTGATAACCAGTCACTGACAAACGATGTATTTTGTCCAGTCCGAGCCAATATTCACCATTTAAATCTCCAAAACCATTTTTATAGCTTGACCAGCCAAGATAGAAATATTGACTTCCGTCCATTCCTCTTTGGATCACAGTCCAGCCTCCACCATCTGTCGTCATGTCACATCTGACTCGGAAAGGTCCCTGACCATCTGGATTAATTGTATATATACCATCTCGTCTTGCTCCAGATTTATGGTGTTCACGGCAAGTGGCAACAATGAATAGATTCAAGTTATAGGACTTTCTAGAAATCGGTCTGAAAAAGATTTGCTGGTTTATTTTCTTAATTCTTCACGCCTCGATGTCCCAACTATCTATTATTTTACAAACGTCGCTCCTCCCTGCCCCCTATTCAATGTTGCGTCTTAGTTAACATCTTACTTTGCCGTGCTAAAACCGCCAGTGTCCAACAATTTTCGAAAATGATTGTAGACACAAACGGAACACGTCCCAAGCAAAGTGCCAGCCATGTGCACACGCATAAATCTCACATCTTGTAGCAAGCCTGTCAACAAGCCGCTAACAAGTTGTGTTCGCACTGCTTAATCTCTTAAGTTGTCAACAAGTTTGGAACAAGCTGTTAACAACTTGTAACAGCCCTGTTGACATGTTGCAAGGTCATGCAGCACAGGGTATACGAAGCTTGTAAAAGTTAGGCGGGTCACCATGGTGGGCGCCAAGCGGGAAAAAATTTTAAAATTTGGAGTCTCCAGATCCAGGTCTTCTTTAGAATTTTCGTTAAGCTCTTTCAAATTCTGTCATTATGATTTGTAAGCCATAAATGTGTTTACTTTATGGTTTGCGACTGCGTAGACAAGCAGCATAGACCAAAAACATCCAATGACAAAAGACAAACAAAAATGTTGTTATTATATAAAATAAACAATTACAGATACGTTATTAATGATATATACGGTTTCAAATACTTCCAATTTCGAGAATTTCGCAGTAATTTTTTATTATTTTTTAAATCCAATAATATATTTTTTTGTGGGGGGGGGGGGGAGAAAGCTATACTCCCCCTCTGCTTTCTACGCCCCTGTTCCAGCAAGTCCGATGCAGTCATGAACTCATGATATAACAATATTGTTACAACCTTGTGTCGTCAACCTTGTAACATTATTGTTCACGACTGTATCAGTCAGACGTGTTAGACCAACCTTGTAACAAGTCTGATAATAACATCAACCTTGTTACAAGTTGTTAAATAACAGCTTGTTAGAAACTTTTTACAATAACTAGGAACACAAGCAGTGCGGGCACAACTTGTGGACAGTTTGTGAACAGATATATCAACTTGTTTGCAGGCCTGTAACAACTTGCACGTTCTTACTTGTGTTGACCGTATTGCATTTAGAGAGAATATATCGAAATTCCACTTGCAATGTAAAATCCCCGAAGGAGCAAAGGCTTGAGTTGTCAATAATATGAATATCACCTATAACAGTAATGTAAAAATCAGCAACCTTTATAAGCAAATCCTTCCCCTTCCATTGATTTATCCATATCTTCCACGAGTGATTGAAGTTGGGCAAATTTCGGTGGCAGCCGTGCTTCAAATTCAGTGACGGATACACTGATATGGTCAAGAACCTTATGCAAGAAAAATCAAGTTAATGCTTTTCTTATGAAATGACATAGTCATAGCAAATCAATCAATCAATCAATCAATCAATCAATCAATCAATCAATCAATCAATCAATCAATCAAAACTAGTTTAGTACAACTTAGTACTATCTAACTGTGTTATAATAATCTAGCGTTGTTATGTTACGAGGCAGTCTCATATATTGTGGTTGTTTTATGTACAAAATGGTAAAAAACGTTATTAATTAAGAGAACTTTATTAAGTTTTTTACCCTTTATCAAGATTTTTTATTCAGCAACAAATCCTGATGATGGACGCTTAGTCCGAAAGCTCGATATTTTAACACTTTTAAACAGGTTTTTGACATTTTTAATAAAGATTTTTTACCAGTTTGTACATAAAACAACCACAATGTGTTATAATTATAACTGATTTATTTTTACAAATCTTTTGGCTTGATTAAAATTGCATATTTTAAACATTTTAATAACCAGAAGCACTTATTCGGTTTATGCCTTTGACTTTGTGCAGTTGACATCTAATGACCCGGTAAGAAAAGGGTGCAGGTATATATGGCGTCGATCTAATTAGAGATATATACGACACATTTAATTATGAAATAATTAATATAACAGTTTATTTACCTTCTTTTCTAATTGTTGAAATCTTGATTGTTGAAATCTCGATGTATTTTCGGAAAGCTTAATATGATTCTGTACAGAATAAATGTTTTTAGTATCTCCAAACCAATGGTCGGCGAACGTACAACTTACTGATCAATTCATGCAGTTGCATGCTCAGAAATACCGGAATATTTAGCATATATAATTACAGCAGGACGATATATTGTATTTCATAGCAGATATCAGTTTTAATTAGCTCTAAGTGAAATAAAGAAGTGCAGATACCTTTTCTAGTTCCTGAAATCTTTGTTCCAACATTTCAGTGGCTGTTGCGATAATCTATAAAATTATTCAAAGAATACAGTACATATAAGAGACGCTTGTATAGATATGTGTAAATATCAAGATTTTGTTGGCATCTCACTCGATTGAATAATAGTTGAAGGGTATTTTAGATGGAAATTACCAGTGGGAATTTATGTACTGTTTAATAAACGAGCAGGAGTGTTTTATTAGGTTTAAAGACATGAGTGCGCAGCGCGAGTGGCTTTAGACCTAATAAAACACGACCTGCGAGTTTATTAAACGGCTTCAAACACGACTACAAATTCAATAGATATACCGCCTTATTAGTATTCTTTATATAAAAAAATACTAATGAGGACACGACAACAATAGATACTGTCTTATTAGTATTCTTTATATAAAGAATACTAATTAGGAGTGTTTTATCAGGTTTAAAGGCACTGCACGTGACATATTATAGTTGACATGATTTGCCAATAAGCTTATGAATTATTAATGAGTGTTTGAAATACATTTATTAGACCTAACCATGCAGGAACAGCTGGGAAAAACTTTAGGTCCCTGGCAGGAATCGAACCTGCGACGCTGCGATTCTGGTGCAGTGCTCTGCGGCCCCGCGATTCCGGTGCTTCTGCCCACTGATGTCTTTACAAAGCCGAGGAATTAAGTCTATGCAGGGTTGAATATATAGTATTGTCAATCAAATATATATGTGTATATTATATAGTAGAGAGTGAGATACTGAGAAATACACAGTGACATATTTTCCATATCTTCACTAGTGAAGATATCGATCACGTGACTTTTAGTATTTATACCATTTTTTGCTTGGGACTATATAATAAACAGAACACTACACGGTGGCTTGAAGATATGACTTTTATCTTCTCGTGTTAAAAACAATATTTTACTCACTCGCTGCGCTCGTTCGTAAAATATTGTTTTCACCACTCGAAGATAAAAGTCATATCTTCGCGCCGCCGTGTAATATCCTCTATATATGCATAGGTTATTTTGAGGCAACGAGGGCATATGTGATTTATTCACCTCGGCGCGCAAATACTTATTTTTCACCCTGCTCGGTTTCCTTTGTTCTTATCGGGGAATATATTCAATATTACCTTCTAATCAATTTCCGTTTAATAATCCCCTCTAGTATTCACCTGCAATTAATAATCCCCTCTAATATTCACCTGCAATGTCTTTGCAGCACAAAAAAGAGAAAAAACAACATAACGAAGGCAATATGGCATTAAGAATTATTTCTATTCTGACCCATTAACGCGACCTCGCAAAGTGAAAAATAAATAATTATATTAGCTTACCATTTTCTCCTCTGCGATAACGTTCCATGTTTCGTTCGAACTCACATAAAGTTTTTTGTTGTCCTTTCTATATGTAAGCAGTCCTGGAAATGAAGGTACTTTACGGGCCGAGTTACTGTCCGGGACAACAACAATCTAAATTGAAAATTAATGGGGATTAACTGAACTATACCGCTTTCAACTAATAGGAATTCATGTTTTTAATTTGTCATGTTAGTAATAAGACTGGTACTTAATTACTGAATACGTTACTCAGTGTACGAATGAATAGTAATATAATTCATGATTAATGATCTTTTTACCCCATCAATTAAAAGGACTTGGTTTGGAGAACAGCGACCCTAGATGAAAGTAAGATCAACAAACTCAGTCAAGGTCAACAAACTCAGCAGTAATTTTCATACAGATTACAAACTGACGTAATCTAAACTTACTTTTTTTGGAATACCGTCGCCACCAACCAAGTTGTACCAAACCACTTTTCCACTGAGTTCATTAACTTTATACTCCATACATTTGTTCCATACTCTCTTTGGAATTGAAGACCTCACCCAAAACCAAGTGTACGTGCTTTTGGTTACATTTGCTCTGTTGCCCGCCTTGCATTTGCCGCCACAAAAATCGTCTGCACGTCCAGGTGGACCAAAACAACTACAACACTAAAATTGTTCGAGAAATAAATGACCATGCATGAAATTGCAGTGGTGCCGCCAGAATTTTTTTTTGGGGGGAAGGGCAACTTATTAATATGTAAGTTACAATTCTAGGGGTATCTGGAAACATGTTCCCCGAAAAATTGAACTTTGGGTCCTGGAAACGACATTTCCTACATTGTGCGACATTTCCTACATTGTGCTTTATGGAGAAAAATGTCAACAAGGTCTTAATAAATGAGCTTTTAACAGTGTCAAATATTGATTTCAGAATATTTGACAATTTAATTCAGTGGAAGACATATAGTCACATAGTGCTTAGCTTTATATTAGAACAAAGTTCAGTAGATCAATAGATGCGCGCGTACCCATCACTGTCTGCTGACAATTTTCCGCCCTTGTCCCCAATTTTTATCGGATTTGAAATAATCTAAAACTAAACTTCCCCTTTGCGGCGCCAATGATAAACCGCCAAATGTGAAGCTTATGCCGTCATGTCGTTTATGCATGAGTATCACTGATATGTTAAACAAATTAAATTAGTTATACGATGCTTATACCTTTCCTCTGTCACAGCCAACAAAAGCAGTTGAATTATGGTCGATGCCTGATGTATTGCGGACCACACTATAGCTAAATAAATAAATATATATATATATACACTTGTTATATATTTGCCGACATAAAATTGCCATAATGCACCATTTAAGATTAATAACTTAGTCGGAAAGTGCTGGTTTGTCTTGAACCAGTCAAGCCTGTGTCCCAAAAAACCTGCTATGAGATAAATAGTTATGCATACTTTCAAAAACGCAAGAAGATACAACTTGGTATCTACATATGTACTCATGCAACTTTTGGACCGGGACATAAATAGTTGATAACATATTAACATTTCCTCCATCATCTTTGTTACCTGAATGCTCCTGAAGAATTTTTTGAATGGTTGTCAAAAGAGGAAAAGCCATAGGGACACGGATTATCCAAGCAATAGTTCATCATAGCCTACCACAAAAGGTAAAATGTTGTGGTCAAATGTTAGCAGTGGTTTATATTGGCCGATCAGGGCTTTTCTTGAGGCGGAGTCAGGGCCGCCGAGAGGGGAAGGCAGGGGGGATTGGCCTGGGCCCCCACCTTAATAGGGCCCCAACTTGAGCCTGGAGTGAGTAGGTTCTTTAAATTGGTCAGAGCATTTTTGAAATTGAGGGCGGAAGGCCCCTTACAGTGGCTCCACATGCAGTCTAGCTAAGGTCTATTTGGGTGACTGACTTGGGTCGATCTAGCTTAAAATTAATGATGTCATAGGGTCCCCAGAGAAGATTTGCTCCAGGACACGCGAATTCTCTTGGCGGCCATGGGCGGAGTGCGCATGTTTACGTAACGAAAAGAGTGACCGGTTTACACTCATTGCTAATTTGCTAAACTCATAAATGAGTATATATAAGTATCTAAAAAAAACTCCTACAGGGATATTTAAATTATAGTGCATGAGCGTATCGGTTCAAACGATCAAAGTGAGTGCACATTTTAACACAAAAGATGTACTATTATAACTAAAGCTAAGTGCATGGATGTTGAACATGAGAAAGTCAACATTTGTATTAAGCCTTCTTCTCAAGCTCGAGGGCCTGAGTCTGCCGGATATTTAGCATGTGGTTATGTACCTGGTTGAGCGCTTTTTTCAGGTACCCAATTATGAGTATACCACATTAGCAACTACAATATGAACATTCCATTGTAAACCGCCCCAGGGCATTTTTTAAGAAATTACAACTACTGGGGCTAAAGTCTCAATCAGGGCCTTTTCCCCACACAGTTACGCGTACAAAAAGGCCTTGCTGTGCAGACTATATAAGATTAAATGTAAGAGGATATTAGAAAGCAGGCAAATGCACTTTTTTCAACAAGGATGATATTTACTAATGATCAAAAGGCCCCAGTAGTTATATAGTTAAAAAATTCCCTGAACCGCTCGGTCACGATACATAACACATGCGCACGTGTATTTATCCGCCTTTATCTACCTCACTCCGCCACAAAAGTCAAAAGAAAGGTGTCAATGATCGGCCTGTATATATAATACAACTGTTAGCAATAATTAGAGATAATATATAGTTTTGATAATATTATGGTTTCGAAAATGAACGAAAAAGAACATGAATGGCCAAGTATACTTATACTAACCCATCCACTTTGATTACTTGCAAATTTTGAGCAACGAAAATTTGTCGTTACAATTTTCTCAGTGCGGAGATCCTTGACGTATGCGATATCCCCAATACCAGGTGATAATGGTCCACAACCACCTTTATCAATGATCAAGAGATCTTTGGGAGAGCGTTTGTTTCGTAGCCTGTAAGACCTATATAAACAAGACAATTGTGCTTACAATAGAAACAAACTATTCTCTAAATTGTACGATATTTTTTCTTTGCTAAAACAATAGCATGTATTCCATTGGCTTCACAAGTGTAGTTTGTCCGAATATTCCCACAATTCGTGCGAGCTTGACAATAGAATATAAGTTTATTTGCATTCATTATTTGAAAGTAAATTTCAATTTGTTTGTCCGAAGTTTGTGCTATAAATAACAACCTTAATCTACGCTATTGATGCCATTTCCGAGATTTCGCAATCTATAGATAATAAAGCATGGCTATCAGCTAGCAGCAGGTCTTAATTCTCTGAATTGTCTCAATAACTTCGAGGCACTGTTCGATGTGGATGGATATACCCAACAGGCGAGGAGAGTAATGATGGAAAAGATAGCCTACAAAGTACAAGTGACTGATGGATGATGTCAGATTTCTGCCCCCCATCCGAATCACGATCGCTGTAGGACTTATACTGTGCCGTGAGGGATCACATAATGCATGATAATAACAATAAAAGTATTTGAAATATCTTTAATTAACAACACATATATCTTTACCAGTGAGCTTTAGTTTTTGCAAAGTTTTCTGTTGTCGACATCTGGACTCGGAAATCTAGAACTGGAGCATCACCGAAAGAACTTGACCAGTGAGGTTCACCAAATGGATCAACTGTTTGGTTATTGGAGGGAACGTTCCATGTCACAGAACTGTTGAGTTTACCAATTAACATAAATCCACCCCTGTCCGTAGACATGTCACACCAGATCTGAGAGGATCGAAATAAAAGAATGATAGAATAAGTATAAATCAGCATATGGATGTCCTAAATGTTGCAAAACAACAAAGATGTGATATTCTTAGTACGGAAAAAGGTCAATTAGAGGTGCCTTTTACCGCTGAGATCGTGGGTTCCATTCTCGCAGAGCACTCATGCATGCAGACATTTATGTGAAATGGGCCAGTCAACGCCCTATCGAAAGTCGTGGGTTTTCTCCGGGTACTCAGAGAATGTTGACAGGGTGGGTTAGGATAAGAAAAGCCCTAAACTGATCCTTCCACCCTGAGTGTGCTCCGTGATCAGATATGAGTCATAAGGTGGCTGCCCTTGCTCTTAGAAAGCCTTAGACTCGATCAGGTTAAGCTGCGTGGTTGGCAATACAGCTTGATTCGATCTGCTGCATGTAAAAATGATTAGCACACCCCCACTTACTTCACACACCTAACGCGCCTCCCCCTGGTATAATGGGAGCGACTTTTCTAGGAATTTCACCATGCCTGGGGCGAAATGGCTAGGATTCTCGCTTTCCCGGTGGGCAAATGTCATAGGATACTCACCCCCCTATGGGAAAATTGCTCACCTCGAAATTTCGATGTAAAACAAAACAAGTCAATACGGTTGTAAGTAATTTTTTTGACATAAATACTCATGATCACAACTATACACACACCTTTTCTCAAAACACACCTAAAGGTGTGTTGTTTTCTGGACAAGCAAATAAAACACCTTAAGGTGTGCTACTGTAACACACCTTAAGGTGTGTTGTTTTCTGGACATAAAAGGTGTGTTAGCACACGGCCTTTTTTTAAGAGTGTACAGGTTGACAAGTTTATGCATCGGTTTTTTAAAGCTTAAAAGCTTTGTAGCATGTTGAATGCCAATATGAAAATAGAACATTTTAGAGCTATACTGTACTTCACTACGCATCTCACAAACATTAACTACATGACTGAAATTTAGCAAACGGAACTAATAGTGAACCAAACAATGTTAACAATGAGTGCCGATCGACGTGGTCCTTGCAAAGCGTCATTCGCCTTTTGACAATCATGTAAATTTGTCTCAGTCATAAGTCATTATAGTGCGGCGGATATATGTGCATGGATGTTTCCGAAGAGGGTTAAAAGCACCAAATTGTGCACAGTAGCATCTTTTTATGAGCAGGGCATGCAAAAGTGGGGCCATCGTGAAACTGTTTTTTTTTAGAGAGTTACGATGCTATTAGCATTATTTGCTATTAAATTCTACTACAACAAAAATGTGAAATTTTGAATTCAATCGCGACAAATATAACTTGCATCATCAGAAAGCTTGTAAAAAACTACATAAAAGACTTTTAAACAGTTTTTTTATTCTTCAAATGGTTATTGCTGTAAATTAGGCACATTATCTCGCTAAAAGTCCCTATTAGTAATTCATTATTCGATGTTTGAAAATGCGTTTTTAACAGTTTATAATTCGAAAACTATTCCAGAAATAAAAAAGAACTGTCTAAGAATCTTATATGCAGTTTTTTATAAGCTTTCTGATGATGCAAGTCATATTTGTTGTAATTGAATAGTTACAAGATTTCACATTTTTTGGCTATAATAGAATTCAATAGAAGATAATCACTACCCTGGTAGAAATCTTAATTAAGATCTTAGGTAAGATCTTATTAAGATCTTAATTAGGATCTTGTTAAGATCTTAATGTAAGATCCTATAAGATCTTATAAGATCTTGTAAGATCTTATTTAAGATCTTAATGTAAGATCCTATAAGATCTTATAAGATCTTGTAAGATCTTATTTAAGATCTTGTAAGATCTTGTAAGATCCTAATTAGGATCCTATAGGATCCTGTAAGATCTTAAAGGATCCTAAATAAGATCTTACATAAATCTTAAAGGAACTTAAGTAAGATCTTAAAAGATCCTAATAAAATCTTACATAAATCTTAAAAGATCCTATAAGATCTTACATAAATCTTAAAAGATCCTATAAGATCTTACATAAATCTTAAAAGATCCTATAAGATCTTACATAAATCTTAAAAGATCCTATAAGATCTTACATCAATCTTAAAGGATCCTATAAGATCTTACATCAATCTTAAAGGATCCTATAAGATCTTACATAAATCTTAAAGGATCCTATAAGATCTTACATAAATCTTAAAAGATCCTATAAGATCTTACATAAATCTTAAAAGATCCTATAAGATCTTACATCAATCTTAAAAGATCCTATAAGTTCTTACATAAATCTTAAAAGATCCTATAAGATCTTACATAAATCTTAAAAGATCCTATGAGATCTTACATCAATCTTAAAGGATCCTATAAGTTCTTACATAAATCTTAAAAGATGCTATAAGATCTTACATAAATCTTAAAAGATCCTATAAGATCTTACATAAATCTTAAAAGATCCTATAAAATCTTACATAAATCTTAAGATCATATAAGATCTTACATCAATCTTAAAGGATCTTATAAGATCTTACTAAGATCCTACTCAGATCTTAACATATATCTTACAAGCAACTGCAATATCTTATAGGATCTTGTAAGATCTTATTTAAAAATAATTTAAGATCCTATTTAACATCCTGCAGGATCCATTAAGATCTTATATATATCTTAAAGAATCTTAATAAGATCTTGTAAGAAATCTTAAGATCTTATAAGAAATCTTAAGAACACCTTGTCGGAAATCTTTAAGAATCTTAAGAAGCTAGATCTTATAATTTTAATCTTAAATGTTTTAAGTATCTTAAATATAAATAAGATCTTACATAAAATATTATATAAATCTTAATATGTAAATCTTAAAAAAAGTTGTACACTGTAAATCCGGGAATGTTGTCACAACACCAAAATCGGTGTAAACTCTTGCCTCTGGGAGACATCAGTGTAAATAGAACTTTGTGTCGGTATGAACACCGATTTGGTGTACATTTACACCATCCTAGGTTATTTAACGCCGCTTTGGTGTAAATCCGCTTGCCTCTGTGTGAACAACAATTTGGTTAAAAATGAATTTATTACAAATTTAAACTGATTATTTTTAGAGTTTAACCCATTAAGCTGCAGAGCTTCTAAATTGACAAGTAAAATTGTCTGGCGTTAGACAAGTAAAAAAAAGTAGCATGCACTGGGGCACATTACAGCTCAATCGGTTAACTAGAGACATTGTCAGATTTTTTGGTTAACCCATTAAGCTGCAGAGCTTCCCCATGCATTGACGAGTAAAATCGTCTGGTGTTAGACAAGTAAAAAAAGGTAGGGCACACTGGGGCGCATTGCGGCTCAATGGGTTAAAACTATAGTTTATATTACATGTTTTGATTCAATTGAATCATTTCAACATAGTTTATATCAGTCACTGTAATCCAAATTAAAGTTCATGTTACCAGATGTACGGGTGATTTGAAACGAATAGTCTTTGCTGAATGGCATTTTGACACAGTCGAATAAGAACACATCACTATATTGTAGTGCACAAAATCCACAAATGTTTTGCTGTAACTGTTCTTTGTTAAACATTAATCTAAGCCAACATGTTCCCTTAAAAAGATAATTATTTTGCATCAGAGAATATTACGAAGAGTGCACTGGATGTCTTATGGGCTTTTGAGGAAGTATCATACTTATACTAACAGTAGATAGAGCAAACCCAATCTAATATTTTGTTGGTGACGATTATATTATTTGAGATTTGGGCAGAAAGTTTGGCTAAAGTATTGACAAGTAACACTTTTTTAGGGCAGGTCAAGTAGTTTCTGGCATACTACGATTTAACAAGGTACAATTGGCAGAGAAATTGGTTATAACCAGAGTGGCAGGATAATATTAACTGTAAAGTTGTAATGACTTACAATATGAAGTAACTGAAGCACATAAATTAAACCAGTTCTTGCTGTATGTCTCAGTGTCTGTTGTACACAATGCTGCACCAGCTTTTCCCTTGAACATGCCTTCCTGTGCCAATTTGTACAGTAATTTTCTGTGGTGAGTGATTGCTACAAAATGAAAATTGGGATTATTCTACAGTCCAAGTTAATTTGTACATAATCCTACTATTACCCAAAAACCTCATTAGCCAGACTCATTATTTCTATTAAAGTTATACACAAGTTTGTCTTTTTTAAACTTTTTTTCTCAGTCACAATAAGCACTACCTTTGGGAAATACCTGGTGACCAGATTATCTCACTATCCTGCTTGGATATGACCAACCACAGGTACATTTAGTAAGAATGCCATTCTATCATCTGTGGGTAGTTGGTACAACACTACAATGAGCTTACTCTAGTATCTGGGCTGCCTCGGTTTGATATAAACACACAACTTGACTCATAAACATTTACTAATGCCATGTTAGGGTCTGCATACTACTTAGCATATTGGGCTATTTCTTCAGGGCAATCAGTGAATCAGGGGTACACTATAATTTCCTCAGGAGTGGGTTATCTGGATAATAAATGGACATATAGCTATGTATTATGATAGCACAATATAGATAAAACAAAGGAAGGATTCTTCTCCTCTCATACAAAGCCATAAAACTTTCTCTGGCGATTATATCAATATTAGCTAAATGAGTCAAGTATTGATATCCTCTCAATACACAATTATATAAACAATATTCATACCTTCTTGATCTTGACAGCTGTAGCCTGTACATATTCTAGTCTGTTGTCGTTTTATGTATCATGATTTCGACAGTTTGACTTGCTTGGATCACAATATTATGACAGTATTTATTGCTTGTAATTATAATCTGTAAATACAAAGCAATATCACAAAGATTTAATGTATTTTAATAATAACAATGTATTATTGAACCCAATACAAAATAAAATGCGACCAACAGCATAGGCGCGGTTAATAAAAAATATACATGAATACAACTATTTATGGCACATATTTACACACAAAACTTCAAAATATGGACATAGTTGAACACTTACATTCAAAATTATTGTGTGAATCTTCAAAAATTGGATTATTTCTTCTTATTTTCTTCAATATTTTAAGAAAATTTGGCCATTATCAACCGACGTATAAAATAAAATTTCCAAACGACGCGCTCGAAGTCGAAATGTGCCCGCTAAGCCTTCTGGGAGCCCATATATGGCAACGTGATTGACTGAAGGCACTGATCTCAATCATGTGAACAATCCAGTCTGTATTACGGTTTTTTCGAGTTTATTTCGACAGAAACTCTTAATTGAGTTATTAAATTCCAATTCCATCTTCAAAATTCTAGCTGTCTTATTATATCTTGCTTACACGACAATAATCAAATCATTTACGTCCATACCTAATTTTAGCCCATTTTACGAATTTTAGTTATCACTGACATCCAGTAAACGTTCTAGGAAAATTTTAGGATCCTGGGGTTGAGTAGCAAGTCTTGTAGGTAATTGTTAAGATCCATAGTATATCTTATAGGAAATTATTAAGATCCTGCGTAAATCTTGTAGGAAATTGTTAAGATCCTGATGAATCTTGTAGGAAATTGTGAAGATCCAGAGTAAATCGTGTAGGAAATTGTTAAGATCCTGAGTGAATCTTGTAGGAAATTGTTAAGATGCTGCGAAAATCGTGTAGGAAATTGTAAGATCCTGAGTGAATCTTGCAGGAAATTGTTAAGATCCTGAGTGAATCTTGTAGGAAATTGTTAAGATCGTGCGAAAATCTTGTAGGAAATTGTTAAGATCCTGATGAGTGAATCTTGTAGGAAATTGTTAAGATCCTGAGTAAATCTTGTAGGAAATTGTCAAGATCCTGCGATAATCTTGTAGGAAATTGTTAAGATCCTGAGTGAATCTTGTAGGAAATTGTTAAGATCCGTAGTATATCTTTAAATTAGGAAATTGTTAAGATCCTGAGTGAATATTATAGGAAAATATTAAGATCCATACTATATCTTTAAGAAAATGTCAAAATTCTATTATATCTTACAGGTAATTGTTAATATCCATAGTATATCTTATAGGAAAATACTAAGATCCATATAGGATCTTATAGGAAATTGTTAAGATCCTGAGTAAATATTATAGGAAAACGTTAAGATCCATACTATATCTTTAGGAAAATGTCAAAATTCTATTATATCTTACAGGTAATTGTTAATATCCATAGTATATATCTCATAGGAAAATACTAAGATCCATATAGGATCTTATAGGAAATTGTTAAGATCCTAGGTAAATCTTATAGGAAAATGTTAAGATCCATATTATATCTTATAGGAAATTATGTTAAGATCCTGAATTAGGATCCTAAGTAGGATCTTAGGATCTTAAGTAGGACCTTTAAGGATCCTAAGTAGGATCTTGCTTGAAATTAAGATCCTAAACCATCCATTTTTCCTAATTAAGATCCTATAGGATCCTAATTAAGATCTTGTTCCTAAAGAGGATCCTATAAGATCTTGTAAGATCCTATAAGATCCTCATGTAAGAAAACTTTATGATCCTGATTAAATCTTGTAAGAAAACTTTATGATCCTGATTAAATCTTGTAAGAAAACTTTAAGATCCTGATTAAATCTTGTAAGAAAACGTTAAGATCCTGATAAAATCTTATAAGAAAACATTAAGATCCTGATTAAATCGTGTAAGAAAACTTTTAAGATCCTGATTAATCTTGTAAGAAAACTTTAAGATCCTGATTAAATCTTGTAAGAAAACGTTAAGATCCTGATAAAATCTTATAAGAAAACTTTAAGATCCTGATTAAATCGTGTAAGAAACCTTTAATTAAGATCCTGATTAAATCTTATAAGAAAACTTTAAGATCCTGATAAAATCTTATAAGAAAATTATAAGATCCTGATTAAATCTTGTAAGAAAACTTTAAGATCCTGATTAAATCTTATAAGAAAACTTTAAGATCCTGATAAAATCTTATAAGAAAATTTTACGATCCTGATTAAATCTTGTAAGAAAACTTTAAGATCCTGATGAAATCTTATAAGAAAACTTTAAGATCCTGATAAAATCTTGTAAGAAAACTTTAAGATCCTGATTAAATCTTATAACAAAACTTTAGGATCCTGATTAAATCTTATAAGCAAACTTCAAGATCCTGATAAAATCTTATAAGAAAACTTTAAGATCCTGATTAAATCTTATAAGAAACCTTTAGGATTCTGATTGAATTTTGTAAGAAACCCTTAAGAACCTGGTTAAATCCTGTAAGAAACCTTCAAGATCCTGATTAAATCTTGTAAAAACCTTTTAGATCCTGATTAAATCGTGTAAGAAAACTTTAGGATCCTGATTAAATCTTATAAGAAAACTTTAGGATCCTGACTAAGTCTTATAAGAAAACTTTAAGATCCAGATAAAATCGTATAAGAAAACTCAAGGACCCTGATTAAATCATCTAACAAAACGTTAGGATCCTGATTAGAGTCCATTACAATCAGTTTTGGATCATGATTATATCTTTTAAGAAAATTTTAAGATCTTGATTATATCTTTTAAGAAATTTTAGGATCCTAAATAAGAAAAGATCTTAAATAAGATCTTAAATAGGATCTTAAATAAGATCTTGTTCCTAAATAGGATCCTGTAAGATCTTACAGGATCTTATAGGATCTTGTAGGATCTTAAATAAGATTTCTACCAGGGAATTTTATTCTTTTCTTCTTACCTTTCTATCCTCTTTCATTCATGTATTACTCCATCCTTCTATTCTTTTATTTGTAATTCTTCCTTTTCCTTTGTTCATTTTATCTTTTTCTCCTTTCCATTCCTTTCTTTCATTCTTACCTTCTTTTGCTCTTCAATAAATGTTGCTTCGTCATTGTATCAATTATAGGTAAGAGAATGTGACTTTGTGTTGTTCTTTGAATGTTCTGAACAAGTGATGGAAGATCGTCTTTTGAAACGTGGTGAAACCAGTGGAAGATCAGATGATAATACTGACACGATTAGAAAGAGATTTAACACTTTCATTGATAAAACCATGCCCGTTGTTCAACACTATGATTCAATAAAAAAACTTAAGAAGGTTTGTGGCATGTTGTCGTTGTTGTTGCCATTGTTGTTTCTCAGTGTTGTTAGTTGTTGTATTTTTCCTGTATTGTTATAGGTAGATGCGTGTCGCGATGTAAAAGACGTTTTCCAATCTGTGTGTGAAGTATTTAATGCCGCAGGAATTTTACCGACGAAAGAAACAATTCAACGGACATCAGGTTAACAACAAATAGTTTATTCATAGTTGTGTTTCATAATCCCAAAACTGTGTTTAGAATACTAACATGTAATATTAATTTACTAAATGTACTGCAAATTTTAGGCGCTGCTGCAGAGGATTCATCTTCTTCAAGGTTTAGAGGTCAAAGGATACTTTTCGTTCTAGGTACGAGTTTACATTTCACTAGGTACGAGTGTGTTCTCACTGTATTTTAATCATGAAGTGTTAGTTTTAATCTTTTTCAGATAGTTCAGACACAAACCACGGCAGTGTAAAATACTACCTGCATTGTATCGTCACATATATTTTATATGTCATTTTGACTTTGTCAGGAGGCCCTGGGTCTGGTAAAGGCACTCAATGTGCGAAGATTGTGGAGAAGTTTGGTTATACGCATCTCTCAACTGGAGATCTACTACGAGAAGAACTAAAGAAAGACACAGACAGAGCAAGAATGATGAGCGAGATTATGAAGGATGGAAAATTAGTCCCACAGGTGAATCTTTAGTTAAAATATGAACGAGAATTCTGCACAACGTATTCCTCTGCTAATATTAATTTTCCCGTTCAGGAAATCATAGTGGAGTTACTGAAAGATGCCATGTTGCAACATCCTCAGAGTCCTGGATTCCTCATTGATGGTTTTCCTCGGGAACTGGGTCAGGCCAAACAGTTTGAAAACGAGGTAGCGTTGAAAACAATTTCTACGGAGCAGTAAGCGGTAGTCAACCTTGACAAAGTTCGTATTGGAGCAAGAAAATTTCACTACATCCGCAATTCTATTTATTTGCCTCCAAATACAAGACTTCTACATATAATGAAAAGAATTAGCCTTTCTCACGCCGCCATTTTTGGGGTACTGTAATTTTTCGTAAACGTTTATAACAATGTGAAAAGCAATAGTTCAGAACAAACTAACTATTTGCAGAGAAAATTTACCATTATACACCCACAAAATTTTAAAATGTCGCCGTTACGTGGTGTTACGCTGGTAGAATTGACAAAAAAAGTACCCCAAAAATGGCGGCGTGAGAAAGGCTTATTGACATTATTTTCTCAGTTAACCTGCGTAGTTCTTCTTTTAGTTAACCTGCGTAGGGTGGGGTAGTGGGGCGAGGGCGGGAGAAAGTGGGGGGGGGGGGCTAAGTCAACCCCACCTATTTCTAACTGTCTCATATTTATTTTGATGTATTTCAGCTCGCGCAGTGTGATAGAGTCGTGTTCTTCGAGTGTACAGAAGTTGTGATGGTGGAGAGGTTATTAAAACGAGGAGAAACGAGCGGACGGGCAGATGATAATTCAGAAACCATCAAGAAACGTTTTCAAACATACATTGAAAAAACTTTGCCTGTCATTCAATATTATGAAACACTGAATAAAGTCAGGAAGGTTTGTCAGCTCGCGTGTTATACGGAAAATCTATCACTAGCATTAAACCTCGGTTAAACCAGGATGAGACTTGATGAAAGTTGGCAAGCGCGAGTTCATTTGCATGGATATTAACACGAGCGTAGCAAAAACTCTCATCAACGAGTATTCTCAATATTTGAACCAACTCAATGTTGACGTGCATGAGTGGTGATGAGACTTTTTGAGAATTGAACGAAAGTTGCAACTCAATTCTCATCAACTCTCATCCTCGTTTGATTATTATTATTATTTAATCATCTTTAAAAACGGTAACCCTTCAATCCACGTAGGGAGTTGCTTTTCAAGGGGCCGTTTACACACCTATTTACACACTTATACTACTTCACTAAAAAAACCTACTAAATACTCAAATTATTAAAATTACACACTTTCCAACTATTTACAAGTCATATAATCAAGTTAAGTATACAATTACACAATTTTTCACTCTTAGATTGACGCTACTCGTGATGTCGATGAAGTATTTGAAGATGTTTGTGAAATGTTTGCTGACTTGGCGCAATTACATCTTGATAACAAGAATAAAACAAGTTAGTTATATTCCTCTTAAAAAGCTGCCTGTGTTTGTGTTTCGCGCTAAGGTCTTACGTCACGAAGTTATTTAATCGTAATTATATAAGAAGAGCGTGTTTTTATTCAGCCTCAGTATTATGATTGTGAAATAGTCTGGATCTACAGTATCTTATCTTTTGTATGTTGAATGTAGATCAGTCTTAGATGATTGATGATGAGATCCTAACTTGATCGCATTGTCCACCTTGACATGACCCCGACCATCACGACCAAACGGAAAGCAGGACATCGGCACAGAATAGATACCGGACCAGAAGTGTCACTCCTATGTGTTTTGGCTGAAGGAAAACGTCCGAAATTTTTTGGCGTGCTATGACGCCATCCTGGAGTGCACCCGGCACTTTGTACCTATGTTTTCCTATGAAAAACTTCCGTGTGCACTCCAGGATGGCGTCATATGATGGCGTATTTTCACGTCAGCACTCGTAAAATTTCGGACAAAATATCGTCTGAGTGACACTTCTGGTCCTGTATCTATTCTGTGACATCGAGCAGCGGTTAGCAACAAAGTGGCGTCATTTAAATGTTTTATTTTGACAGTTGCAAGTGAGTCTAAAGATGAGGATTTCAAAGACGCAGTTGCTGATTTGTTTGCTCACATGGACAAACATGAACAGGGGCATGAAAGCCAGGAGGAAGAAACAAAGAAAATACCTGTAGAAGAGCCAGCGGTCACCGCTGAAGAACTTGTGCCTTTGGGAGATTTGAAAACAGCTGTACCTACACACAAGAGTTTGCTGAATGCGCGCGTTATTTTTGTCATAGGTAAATTGAACTAACTTTATTTATACTGGATAGCTCTATCAGTTCTAAACTGTTCTTCCAAGAGGTCCAGTAAGGATCATCTCTTATTGATCCAGTGTTACTACAGGAGGAAAGCTAAACTAAACTAACTTTATTTATACTGGATAGCTCTATCAGTTCTAAACTGTTCTTCCAAGATGTCCCGTAAGGACCATCTCTTATTGATCCAGTGTTGCTACAGGAGGAAACATAAGTGGTGTTTAGTGGACTCAAACTGGAAGCACTCTTCTTCTCGTGACGGAGACACACCCATTTTTCTTTTGTAGGTGGTCCTGGGTGTGGAAAAGGAACACAGTGTGCAAAAATTGTCGAAACCTTCAATTATACCCATCTATCCACGGGTGATTTGCTGAGATCTGAAGTGTCCTCAGGTTCTCCTCGAGGTCAGGAACTGAGCGCCATTATGGAGAGAGGGGAACTGGTGCCTATGGTAAGTTGACCTCAATCTGGTGCATCGTAACGCGTTATAATAAAGCCCACCAAACCTCCACAAGAGGAAAGAGACTGAGAACGACGCTTGCCCACCAATTGTCGTTGGTCATCAGCATAATCAACAATAAACTCTTACTATATTTTCTAGGAAACTGTTCTAGAAATTCTCAGAGATGCTATAATCAAACAACCGAACACAATAGGATTTCTGATTGATGGTTTTCCAAGAGAACTGGAGCAAGCAATTCAGTTTGAAAATGACGTAAGCGAACATTTCTACAGTTTCTAGGAACTCTGGTTTTCTTCCTCACTGTAAATATTTAACCAGCACTTGTCGTGATCACCACCCTGGCTTTTCAACTTGGGAGACTTGGGTTCAATCCTTGGTCGGACTTCGACTCAAGGTCTTAAAATAATTGAGGAGAAAGAGTAAATAGTTAAACTTTCGCGTCTTCTCGGATAAGGACGTTAAAATCGTAGGTACCTCGAATCCCCTATTAATTGGGCAATATCCTGTTGAAAAATCCGCCCACCAATGGACCATTTGCATTATAGACTAAATTTTTATCTAGACAGAAATTTCATCACAGCTTGAAAGAGCATCACAAAATTAGTAATATTCCAAAGTTTCGTTGAGAAAAGTTGTAAAATGCGGATAATATAGCCTTGCGAAATTTGCAATTTTCAGTCATTTTGTATTACAAACGGGAAATTGATGCCCCAACACCCGATTGGGCTGTCAATTTCCCGTGCGTGATACAAAATGACTGAAAAACGGCAAACTTCGCAAGGCTATATTATCCGCATTTTAGAACATTTCGCAACGAAACTTTGGAATATTACTAATTTTGTGATGCTCTTTCAAGCTGTGATGAAATTTTTGTCTAGATCAAAATTTAGTCTATAATGCAAATGGCCCATTACCCATTCCGAAGTTGATGAGAGGACTGGGGGCGAGTGTTAAAAAGTGCTCAAATTAAGAAATGAAGCAAATCACTAAAAAGACCACCTCAAAATTAGTAAATATACAAAGTTTGAAGGCGTTCACATGAATACCCTTCGAATAATAAGCTTTCGAAAATCGCGATATTTACTATGAAATGTACTGTAATTTTTTATTTGAAGGTATTCATGTAAACGTCTTCAAACTTTGTATACTTATTAATTCTGAGGTGGTCTTTTTAGTGATTTAGTTCATTTCTTAATTTGGGCACTTTTTAACACTCGTCCCCAGTCCTCTCATCAACTTGGCTAATGAGTGAGAAACTCAAAAAGCCTTTCACCCAGGTCTTCACTTGTGCTGCGTGAGCAGACATGATGGTGAGATTACTTACTTTCTATTTCTTCAGATTGCTGTATGTGAGTGCGTGCTATACTTCGAGTGTTTGGCAGAGACAATGACAGCCAGACTATTGAAACGAGCTGAAACGAGTGGTCGCGTGGATGATAATGAAGAAACTATTAAGAAACGTTTGGAAACTTTCTTCACGCAAACATTGCCTGTTGTACAACATTATGACGAGAAAGGAAATATACACAAGGTAAGGTTTGGGGACCCATGCTTGCCCCTTTTACATTTTATGTCCGGTGTGTTTATGTCACTTCCACTATCGCTATGGTTACCGTATTAAGCCTGTGAGAGTGGAAGTCAAATCTGAATCTCCGGTTAGTGTGTCCAGTGCGTTTGATGGTACAACATGATTATTGTACATACAGTTCAACTATGTTGTGACGCTGTTTGCATGATTCCTCCAATGTGCAGTTGTCTGATTTTTACTTTACCTCAGTCTCATGTCAGAAGAGTGCTTCCAGTTTGACTCTACCAAACATCGTTATTTTTCCTGTAGTAACACTGGATCAATAAGAGACTAGCCTTACTGGACCTCTAGGAAGAACAGTTTAGAACTGATAGAGCTATCCAGTATAAATAAAAGTTAGTTTAGTTTAGGTTTCCTCCTGTAGTAACACTGGATCAATAAGAGACTAGCCTTACCGGACCTCTAGGAAGAACAGTTTTAGAACTGATAGAGCTATCCAGTATAAATAAAAGTTAGTTTAGTTTAGGTTTCCTCCTGTAGTAACACTGGATCAATAAGAGACTAGCCTTACTGGACCTCTAGGAAGAACAGAACTTTTAGAACTGATAGAGCTATCCAGTATAAATAAAAGTTAGTTTAGTTTAGGTTTCCTCCTGTAGTAACACTGGATCAATAAGAGACTAGCCTTACTGGACCTCTAGGAAGAACAGTTTGAACTGATAGAGCTATCCAGTATAAATAAAAGTTAGTTTAGTTTAGGTTTGCTCCTGTAGTAACACTGGATCAATAAGAGATGATCCTTACTGGACCTCTAGGAAGAACAGTTTAAAACTGATAGAGCTATCCAGTATAAATAAAAGTTAGTTTAGTTTAGGTTTCCTCCTGTAGTAACACTGGATCAATAAGAGATGTTCCTTACTGGACCTCTAGGGAGAACAGTTTAGAAGTGATAGAACTATCCAATATTAATAGTAAAGTTAGTTTAGTTTAGGTTTCTTCCCGTAGTAACACTGGATTAATAAGAGATGAGCCTTACTGCAAACCTAGAAAACTAAATAAACTGATAATTTAGTTTAATATGTAAACTAAATAAAGTTATAGTTGAGCTTGTTCAAAATTTCTAAGATGTCCAGTTTCTTTAGATTGCAGCTGAAGAAAGTGCAGAAGAAATTTTTGTCAAAGTGAAAGCAATTCTTGACGCTCTTCCACAACGTGAATAAAAATGTCTGTAAAGGTGAGAGGGAAAGCATTATTCAAGGTAAACATTATTGTACAATTTTCAAATGCACCATTCATCTCAATCCAATCCAAGCCACACATATATAAGGAAGCGATGCATCGTTGAACTCCTAACATCACAGACTTTCATTCTTAAATGTGGGACGTTGCCATGCAAGACTATTTTGCACTTAATTTCCAAACTCTAATCCCTGATCGGAATGAAACACCAAGATAGAGACAGAGTTATCTGAAAAAATGGGACTCTTTAGTTTGGTTGTTTTTTGATTCAATGGAAAGAGCTGTGGAAATCATACACCGGTCTATCTTAATCCTTTGCTATCCTTATTGGATTATGATAACAGTTTTGAAATATGTAACCATTAACTTAACCTCGTACCCATAAGCTCATGCTAGCCGCGCAGAGGAAAAAAGCCTGGGTATGAGGGTACGATTACATACACGCGCAATCTCGTTCCCCGAGCCTGCGATCCTCGGGAAGGAACGCGAGGCTCTGGGATAATCCGTTTCAGGGAGGAATCTGATTGGCCATTGAAATGGAATGCGTAGTTCAATCTTAGCCAGGATTCTTGGCTTCCGGTAACGGATTATCCCAGAGCCTTCGATTCCTTCCCAAGGATCGCAGGCTCGGGGAACGAGATTGATACACGCGCAAATTCTGGGTACGAGGTTGATTTACATATATACTCGCACCTTATTTGTATGTCATATTCAAACTTACAAAGAACTTATGTCATATTCAATTATCACATTGCACTTATCATGAAAATATGTCAGTATATATAAAATAAAATATAAGTTTATACATATGAAACAATAATTTTTTGCTCAGTAAATATTTGTTTGTAAGAGATGTGTTTGGTGTGTTTCGTGCTATAAACAGACAATGCAGGAAGTGGCATACATTAGTAGATTTAGGTATCGCAGTTATTCAGGTTTGAAACCTAGCTTGTATTCTAAGATCAGATTACTTAAAAACGAGTCAAGTTTACTTCGAGTCAAGTTTACTTGAAAAAAATCCTCAAAAACCTAAATTCCTTAAAAAAATCCTTAAAACTCTTCAAAATTCCTATTTTTAAGGATAATTCCTTAAAAGTGACAGCACTGTTCAGAAAGGCAATTTTTTGAGTACAAGAAGAACGTCGACGTTCCGAGCGAAGGCCCTTGGTCAGGTTAGTAGCCGAGAAAGGCCCTCGCTCGAAACGTCGAAATTCTTCTTGTGTTTTTCAGGTAGTAGCATCTCTATCAATCAAAATTTTCTTGTCGTTTGGCACAGACCAATTAGGATGATATTGAAAAAACTGTATGTAGACAGGTGTAGGCAAGAATATAATTCGACAGAAATTGATAGACATGCATTCGCTTTTATAATTAGCATGTTGTATTGGTCATTCAGCGCAATATCCATTAACGTGGGCATAGAATTACTTTTGGGAAAATGCTGCAAAATGAGTAATTTCTGAAAGCCTTTGAATGATGGCTAAATAGCTGTGTAACAAAGCTGTTACGTTAATTTTACAACTAGGAAAACATTGGTAGGTTATAAATGAAGAAATCACAACAAAATGGTGGCAATAGGATGACAACCCAAATTCGCCCCCACCCCCATATTTGATAGTTTATGCCGCATTACTTGAAAGCTTTCTTGCAGAAAGCACTTACTTCCAATTACCACGTCTTTTGTTCTCAATAAACGATCAAGAATCCTTCTAAGGATGAAATTGTGAATAGGAATTATTTAATATTGCATGAGAATAAATAAGAGAACTACTGGCCGTGGTTTTATTCTAGATACTGAAGCTAATATCAATGAATTCAACTGTTCTCGTTCGTTTGTACTTTAATTATTCAACAGGGCAATTACTTAAAATTATTCAACAGGGCAATTACTTAAAAGCTTTTGGACATTTACTGTTTCATTGCGGCATATGTAAGTGGTCTCGCATGAATCTGATTGGCTAGTTATTGAATACATTTCAGAAAAAATCATGTTAAGTGCATGTGCATTGATCATTTTTGGAGTTCATCTGAGTCATTAGGTGAAGAAGAAGCATCAAAGAGCTGTACAGGTGAAAAGTTTTCCGTGGTTTCGGTTTAATCTTATCTTCAAGGACAACAATATTGTGTGTGATCAAACACAAGATTCAAAGGTTAGCAGTGACAGTATAAAAGCCAGAGAAACTTCAAAAGTTAGCAGGGAAATTTTTCAAGTCATTAAGCTAAAGTTAACGGACAAGCGTGAAATAGGAACAGTCAGAAGCTTATCAGAGTTTGCCATCTTATGTTAATATAGCTTTGTCGTTACAAATTTCTTACGTGTACACGACAACGTACCTGATCGGGCAATTTTCACGGATAAGGAAATCGAAACCGCTTCAAGGTGTATTTTTGGAGTATAGCAGGATTTTCAATTATTCAGTGCATGATTTAACAAACTTCCGAAAGATTAGCATTCATTGTTTGAAATTTTACTTAACTATGGTTACATTTTAACCAATTTTTTAAGGTTAAAAAAAGATAAGGCAAAGATACAGTGATCAGGCTTCTAACTTTCAATCTTGCCTTCAACAATATAAGTTTTATAAATAAGACAAATTCGCAGTCCAAATATCACATCTTTCCCTTGATTTCCGTCACCATGCAAGCAGGCAACTTAACGTCAAACTCCAGTGGTGTAATGCGCCATGGAAGACGGTCAACCAAAAGCTTAGACTTCGCTATTCCGTACACAGCTACCAGTGGGATCTTCTCGTTTGTAGGCGGTGTGAGTAATCTCTTCGTTCTATTTGTCTTACTCAAATATGTTCGCTTGAAGCAGAACACATATGTGTACATGCTCAGTTTATTCTTGTCCGACATCTTGTACAATTGTGTAGTGCAACCGCATGTGTGTTACTATCAGTTTCCATCAGCGGTTGTCACAGTCTTTGGAATGAAGTATATTCATGCTGCGTCATTGGTGTGTATACTAATTGGAACCTTAAGCTTATTCTTTGCCTCACTTGATAAATATATCTTCATTACGCATCCATTTTTCTATGGTAATTGTATTACTAAGAGAAAAACTCGTGTGGTTGTGATCAGTGTGTGGTTGGCTTGCCTTACTCTTGGCGTTATGAGATTCTATGGAATTGTTCAAATCAAAGTTGGCTACTTGGCTGTAATTGCAGCAGCATTTGTACTGACAATTCTCGTACAAATGATGATATTTGTAGTGGCGCGAGAACAGGATAAGAGAATACAACAATTGCATCGTTCTTTGGAACACAATCACCCACATAATGGCGGAGAAGGTAGCGTGGTTCAATCACATTCGAGCCAGACTTCGAATAAAGCTGCCAAGACTATTGGCTTTCTGCTTGTTGTCTACATTGCATCATGGTTACCTGTCAACATTTATCGTCAAGAGTATAGATGGAATGGAGGAGATCCTATACTTTATCATAAATGGGTGAAAATTATTAATCTTTTGATCCAGCTTCATTCCTGCATCAATCCATATGTCTTTGTGCTTCGTTCCAAGGATATGAAGAGTGCAATTGCGAAGTTATTGAGGGCTTTAGGAGTGCGTCAGTGTTTGTGTGGTGAGCGGGATTCACAGATCATTGTTGGCAGTAATGGAAATACTTTGACAGCAAGTAGTCATGCTCGTAGTAGCAACGTGAATATCTACGAGATTTCTGATCAACGAAATGGTGACACTGCTGGTTCTTGTGAAGACATTGAACTAGGACATATGAACACTTCATATCGAAATTCTTGTGGAAACAATGCAAATGAAAACACTACGGATAGACCTGACAACGGTCAAAGTGGAAACATTCAAGGAGTTCACAGTTCAGACAACAAAAATATAACCTTGGAAAATGTTGGAAGGAAAAGGGATGAACGAAACATGGTAAACAGCTTGAAGACGGCATGTAACGTAAACTTCAGTAAAGAAGAAAGAATGGTAAGCGACGTGGGTGGAAACATTGAGAATGAAGAAAACATGGAAAGTACTGATATTCGAGAAAACGGAAATGGCATTAGCATGCTTGAAAGTCAAAGTGTGGACATTAACACACGAGATAATGACAGCAGAGGAGAAGGAATGGCAAACAGCGAGAATGATAAAAACACACAATACGTGAAGAAAGATAAAAGCAGCTCAGATAACAAGAAGCCTGGACGGTCTCCAGACCAAAACTGAACATAAGCGTATATACATGACGTAAATCAGTATAAACATTTGCTCACAAGATATAACTTAAGCTATTGAATTGAAATACAGACTATAGAATATTCACGTGAAGAATAGTTACTGAATTTGTAATCGCGATTGTCGTGCAGTTGTATGTGAACGTTGCAATATTTATAGCATGTAAGAATATTTAAACTTATTTAAATTAATGTGTGAACACAGTGTAGTCGCTTCGGCTTTAGGCCAATCAGATTTATTTCGTTTATAGTGACATGTTTACGAAATCGTATGATTGTGGGAGAAACTGTCAAGGCCTTCCGAAGTTGGGGGGCTGTATATAATGTGTATATGATATAGTAATATCATGGCTACCTTGAAATCCTTTGTTTCACGAGGGACAATTAATGACTAATTTACCTCGTTGCTAAAACATGACGGGACGATTAGAAACCAATTATCCTACGGGACAATTCGTCCCTCATCTTTTTTTGCATAACCTCTGTTAATGTTCAATTCAATATTTAACAGACATGAAAAATCAACCGTAACCTCATTAACGAACATCCCAATAGTCATTAGTATCAAAAAGCAAACGCGCCTTTTCACTTCAACTTATTCAATCGAATGAAAGGCTGACCGAGTTTTATTGTCTCGGTAGCTATAATATGTGATAGCATGGCATTACGGTCGATTAGTGATGAAATGTCCCTCAAGCCTCGAGAAGTTTAGTAAACTTTTACTATAAAACCTCCCTCGGCTTTCGGGTACATTTAATCACTAATCGCCCTGCATGCCATGCTGTTAATAATAGACTTTTAATTATGGTATACGAATACATAACGTTAGGTGTGTGTGCGTGTGCGTGTGCGTGTGCGTGTGCGTGTGCGTGTGTGTGTGAATGAAATTTCAATTAAAGTATTTGAAAGCGTTAAAAAATATGGTAGTAAGTTTCGTACGATCAAGCGGTCAGCACACTTTATCAGCAGCAAAGATGACATAATTTTAATCAAATATCAATTCTCCAAGAACGTACTAATTCTGTCCCTATTTTTTTACTTTCTAATACAATATATTAAGTAATGGAATATATCAAAAGTGTTTATCGACTAAATGTAAACACACAAACAAAAATGAACAAGTTGTTGAAACTCATGCAACATATGCAATTTTAAACCAATATCAAAATGTTTTCGACTATTCTGCTATTCACACCAATATTAACAAAAATATAGAAAGATATATAGAAAATGTAGAAAATATCATAGAACATTTGTCACGTGCATAACACGTCGTTAAATGCTTTTGTCACGTGACAAGCTATACGGGTCAAATACAGATACGTTTCTTAGATCTTCGACTCTAATTCAGTGCCCAATTCTCCGAAATACAGGTCGACCAAGCTGAGATGATTTAAGATGTTTCTCACGCCAAAATTATGAGAAACCAACTCGAAATTCTGAATGTCTTCGATTTCCTTTGATTTCAACACCATGTCGTAGATATCTTTGAGAAGATTCCTAGAAATATGGAACAAAACATTGTAACAAATCAACTGATAGTTTTTGTATAATAGTCAGCAGTCAGGGAGGTTTTGAAATATGTCAGTTCCAAATTACTGTTTCATCGTTTGCCAGCTGTCAGTTAAGATATTTTTTCACTTGTTTGTGAAAATACCGGCTAATGGTCAGCTAACCCCATGTAGCCCGAAGGCTTGCTTGCATCGCATCAAGCTACCTGAGACACTTACCTTGCTTTTTCAACATCCTGAATCTTTGTCTTGAGTTGAATCTTTTGGTCGATGAGTTTGAGTACATCGTCCGTGTCTCCCGAAACGCGCTTGGCTGCTTTTTGAGCCAATGAACGCAGAGGGAAATATTGCATGTTAATTTCATGTATCCCATCAGCCAATCTGGTCGCTTCTCGTTCACAGAGCGGTGTGAGTAGAGATGAAATGACTTTCTTTTTAGGAGGTTCGTGGGCGCCAAAGATGAAACGTTTTCGCTTCTTGCCTTGTTTGTCTATTTCAGTAATTTCAATAGGATTGTCTGCACTAGTTGGCGTAACCCCCCTGGTGGGGATGGTGTTGCTTGCCAATTCCGGGTGGTGTGGTATAACTTCTGTTGGTGCATTAGTGGTTGAGGTCGAATCCTCTCTCGCGGTAACACCGTAACTGCGAGTTTCAGGGGGGAGTGATCTTGAAATAGTGGCATTACGTGAAGCGACATCCCTGGTGGTAATACTGTTGGTTATAGTTTCAGGGTGGTGTAAGCTTACTTGAGTTGGCATATTGCCATAACATGAGACATTACCCCTGCTGGTAATGCTGTTACTACTAATTTCAGGGGGGAGCGCTCGTACTTTTGTGGATGCAGGAACACTTGGGAGTTGATAAGCAGAGTGTTGTTTATGGATATCAGTTGCATTTGGATAATAGGAGGGATAAGGATATTTCATTGGAGGGATCCTTGGTAGGGTTGCTTGGGATAGATTTGGAGAACGAGGTGGTGTTAAAGTGGGGCTGGTTGGTTTTTGTGCTCTTGACAGATGTGGTGGGTAAGATAGGGTAGCTGCGGGTGATTTAGGGTAAGGTAGGGTTATTGAGGGTGGTTTAGGGTAAGACAGGGTCATTGAGGCGTCTCGTATCATGGGGTTGCTAAGATACGGGATGTGTGTATCTGCACCAACAACTCGTTGACTGTGCGTTTGAGGATCGTAGAAATGGACTGAGACAACCTGGGGTAAAACTTTGGGCTCTTCCATATTTCTGCAAGTATTGCTGCCATTCCTGGACAAACTTTCTGTTGCATTCTCGTATTGTTCATTGTCGGATGCTTTGCGGATTAAGTTCGCTTTAAGTCGCTTTTTCAGTTCATCTTTAAGATTTGTGTTCGTTTCTTCTATATTTGATTTCTTTGTTGGTTTTGTTTTATCTGCAGTTTCGCTCACACTGTTCATACTTGATCCCTCTTTTCCATCATCCACGTTGTGCTCGTTTGTTTCCACGATGAAGAACTCCTCAGAACAAACAGATTGATTGTCGTCGGAATCGTCGTTTGGCGAATTGTAATTTGAGTCGTCGTCGGACGTCGCCTGACCGTCGGGAGATGTCGTTTGGTCGTTGGGGGACGTCGCTTGACCGTTGGGAGATTCTTCATCTGATAGAGAGAGGATTGGGGCAAGTTGTGACGTCATCGTCGGTAATGGGGAAGAGTCTGGGCTCGAGAGGTGTAATTTGCTGTTAGCGAACAAGCAGTCAGTATTTTCTACTTCAGCTTTGACTGATTTAGTGGAGAGGGTTGTAGGACTGGCTGGAGAAACATTGTTATTTTCATCATTCGTAGCTCTCTCTGGTTTTACATTTGGACTTTCTTGCTTCTCTTTGACAAGTTGGTGGCTTGATTCCTAAAACAAGTCAAGTCAAGTGAAAGATTAAGACATGCAAGCGTGATACTGACCCTAACTAAATCTAATCTGAAACCTAAGCTATGCGAATCTCACTCTATGCAGTCATACAGACTATGTATTGATCTGATCTGTGGAGTGCAATTATGAATTGTTGGCCACTATTTGAAATCACTGAGGCAAATTTGAAAGGTATCAGGTGTCCCTAAAGGATCATCCAACTAACTCTCACTAAGACAAATTTCAACTAACTCTCACTCAAGGCAAATGTAAACTCAAGCTGTGAGCAGGCTACACTAAGGGAAATTTAACTAGTCTGGATCGGATCATCATCTCTCACCACTTTAGGATTATCCATCCCATCACCATTGATGTTTTCTGTCAAAGATTCCAGGCTTCTTGTATATCTTCTTGGTTGCTTGGCTTTCCTTGATCGTGTTCTCTCAGGCGGCACACTGCTGTTGTTCTCTTTCAACTCTTGACTTTTCTTGCAAGATCTCACTCTGAGCTTCAGGCAATGCGTTGCATCGTCCACCACAATCTTGGAAACATAGTGACTCGTGTTCTCTTGATCGCCGTCTTCGTTTGTCTTTCCTTTCGTTTTATGAGAGGCATGCTTTTTACTTTTACGTTTCTTCCGAGTGCCAACATTCTTACGAAGTTTCGTCTGTGTGGGTGTCAGGTTTATTCTGTAATGAGGTTGCCTTAATGCTGGATATTCCTTCGTTGCTTTTATGAAATTCAGCAAAACTTCTTTCTCTTTATCCACAATTTTCGTATAGTAACGTAGCTCTAAAGATTTTGAATGATTCAAGTTTATAGTTTCAGTGATTGATACTATACGGCGGCAAAAACTCAATCTTTCATCGAGTTTTAAAACTCAGTTTTTCTCCGTAATAATATTCTTAGTAACACCCGAGTTTATATAATTATATTGCCATCATGAGTTGTTGGCTATTCATGCTGGTTTTCAGTATATTGCGTTACTAGGCATAAATGACAGGAGCAAGCAAGTTTAACTACATGATTTTGGGCATCTCATGCACACGATACTAAATATTGAAGGAGAAACTGTCTGTCAGCGTAGGTAGTGACAATAACACCAGAACGTTTCGGATTGAGAAGGATTCAACTACATCTGAAAACACACAAGTAAAACCTCCCGATCCTAACGAAGTTTTCCTAACGGATAACTTCCCGATAAAGGACCTTCGCTCGAAACTCGTCAAAGTTTTACATGTATTTTTCAGGTGTTGCATCCTTCTCAATTCACAGCTTTCTAAATGTTGAAGAGTTTTTAGTCTGGACATTTCGTGAACTTCAGTGGACAGTCGATATTTCGGCCTAGTTAAAAGAACCATATGCGTGTATACCAGAACTTTATAAAAGACAACCGCGATAAAGGTTGGCAAACATTGCTGTAAGTACTAATACTTCCCGCGAAACAGATGCCGGTTAACCAACAACAGTATCTGAGTGAGAAAATGATGTTAATTCTTTTCATGAAATGAAGTATTCAGTATGTATGAACAATTCTCACGTCGACCACCATCTGTTGTAGAACTCAATACTTACATACCAGACATAGTCTTGTTGATATTGTACTGGCACAGCCCTAATACTTGATATGAATTCCGCTGTCAAACTTTACCTTCTTTTGAGAGACGTTTTGTCTGTACTGCTGTACTCTTGCGGCTCTGACATTGAATCCCTAAACTCCGTGTCTCACTCATCTCGTCTCAAACACAAATCTATTTTCCTCTTGACAATTTGCTATGACGACTTAAGTCTTTTCATTCATGTGACGGTTATTGATGCGACCGCCTACCAAAATTGTTGCTTAAATCTCAACTTGTTGCTGTCGTACTGTTACTTTGAAACTTGGAATACCCTTCAAAGACAAATGAAATATAGCATGAGTGAAAAAATTCCCAAAATCAGTGATGTTTGGAAGAATTTGCGATTCTGATGGGAGGTGACGATGCTATTGTTGACTCTAGTAGACGCTTCCCTTTACGGCCTAAATTTGGTTGTCTGTTTGATGGTTATGTTGGCAACAACTGTTCAATAAACTTACCTTCTACTTCCCTAGATATTGAAAGTGTGTGAGTGAATTGTAGATAATAATTTCATCAGTTTTCCCCTTGGTTAAATCAAGGGATGAGAATACAGCCAAGTCTGTTCTGCACTAGTGAACACACAACATGGAATAATTATGTAAAATATTGTGTCATGCTTTGATCTTGCATAACAACTGATATCTTTGCATTTTTGATTGACTACCTTAGTCACACTTCATAGATTTTCAATAGACGCAAATCCTTTCACTTCGCTAACACACAAAAACATTGCGTGCCGTTTGACATTTCTCGTTCGGTTTCATTCCGAGTTACAGGACAGATTATTACAGGACACTGTTATGGTCAATAAAATGTTGGAACTTGTTCGAACAAGAAAATGAAAATAAAGCTCTCGAGTATATGCATTATTAATGAATTATTAACATTATTTTCTCATCGACCATCATCGATCAGCATGATCATTGCTGGGTTAACCCATTTATTTTAGCCAGAATTCGGAGTAAAATATATCTTGAAACTAATATTCGCAATGTACTGTAGTAGCTAAGCAAACTCCCGTTCGTTTGGTATATCTTTAACAGTTCAATAAAGGGTGACTATATCCGACATTTCAAGAGGATTTGATTTGAGACTCCGAGAGTCAAAATGTTTAATAAATGTTCTCCAATGTTCTAAGGTAGCTTTCACTGAGCATACATCAGATGTTGCTGGAGTCATCTGAGTGAGAAGATATTGTATTTTATATGTAGTGGTGTTGTAGGGAGCAATGCTTTAATGAAATACTCCTAAAACAGTATTATACTACACTAGGAAGAGATACATAGTTGAATTCTTACTCCTGTGAGAGTCAATATTTTCTATAAAGTTGAACACCAGGCAAGAGTTGGACATAATCACATAAAGATGGTAAGCAGGCCCGACTCAACTCTCAAGCAACGTTAGAATCAATCATCACTCCCTCACAGAAATATTCCAAGTATGCTCTTAGGCATTCCCGTCATTCTTTGCGTCGCTGCACTCGCGTAGCCATACTTCATGTAAGAGTAATTGAAATGTCTTGCACTGAAGTGAAATATTCATTAGCCTGCGAGCAGGATCTCTTCTGGGAAATGTTCGCTTTTATGAAAATTTCAATTTGTAAAATATTGTTTAGTTTGAACTATTGACCGCCAGCGCTCTCCCCTTTACGAGTAAAATCGTCTGGCGATAGACAAAAGAAAAAAATGGTTATGATATTAAAACATTCTCCAAGTCGTTTGGTTGTTACGTACAATTTGAAATTAGAATATTTATTTTTTATTAATTAGCTACATACATGTTATTAGGTGAAATACATATCTAAATAAAGTCTATTATATAGTCTCATCGGTAAAACATTACGTCGTCATCCATCATCATTGCATTACGTCATCATCTGCCTTGTGATTGATTAGTATTCGATCTCGTCCCAGTATCCTGTATACCCGAAGCGCGGGTTTCCTCGTTTAGTAACGGGACACTTAGAGATGCATTGCTTGTTCCAATTATAGCAGTCGTCCAACTTACTCCCAGGCGCGTTTTTGCATTGGTTGTATGTACTCGAGCATTGTTGGTAACATGGATCAGTTGTCGACGCGTAGTTCGCTGTGAGGATCAGCACCATCAACAACATGATTGATTTAGTTAAACTCGTTGTGAAATGCATCTAAAAAAAATAAGATCAGAGACAATGAAAATAACATTTTTGAAAGAAAAATTCTTGAATCACTGCAGAGGCCGCGGAAGCATTTCCATAGACAAAAGGGGCACTTTTGTATATGACCAAAATCAAACGATTTTATGTCGATATGTAGTTCGATAACGTCGGAAATGGCCTTTAGTTACAGAGTATTTACTACTGCAAAAAGGGCATTTTCTTTCCAGCAAAAGAAGGTGTATTTACTACTGCAAAAAGGGCACTTTCTTTCCAGAAGAATTCAAGAAATACTTCTTTCGTTCTTTAATGGAGCACTTTTGCCGAGAAAAAATGGCACTTTCCTCACCTTTAAAAAAGTGTGCCCCCCCCCCCCCCTTCACAGTTCCTCGGCCGTTTTTGTGAACACGGACGTCACTCCGCCAATGAATTGCGATCAGTGTGAAAAGCAGGTTTTCATAGTGCTGCCTTTGTAGAGACAGAACGTCTGTTTCGTGAGTTACTAATTTTACCAGTAAGATTAAGATTTAAAATTTATTTTAACAAACGTAATGCAAAAATAACAGTTGTATCAGACAACTTAAGCTGCTTACATCGAGTACAACTTAAAACAAACAACAAGGTTAAACGGAGAGAATTGTGTCTGAATCGTTTACGCTGAGAAGGTCAAAGGATTAGGATAGTTTTCCATAGTCTTCCTCACACCTTCTGGTTTAGCACCTTTACATCTATAATGTTCATTTTTTTAGTACTTTCCAAAATGGTTTCAGCTGTTCTGTGTTCTTTGCAATAAGTAACGTCTTGTTACGTCAAAAAATTTTTGGTCAGTGTACCATTTTAGGGGTAAAAAAATTTTCCGGACGAGTGCGTTGCTGTTGCTTTCCAGTGACTTTATCTCATTTTTTAATGCCAAATTTCGGTACTTAGCTCAAGAAAACAAATATCTTGTCCTTTCCCGGGGCAATTTGCCCCCCCCTGCCCCCCAGCACCTCGGGGCCCGGGGCAATTTGCCCCCCCCCCTTGCCCCCCCTCTCGGCGGCCCTGCCCGAGGTAGTACCTATATTCATGCAAATCTCATTCCCAGTGGTCTAAATCCCATTTTACAACTTCCCCCATAGATTTGAGTCAGTGTTGAATTAATTAATCTTCTTTCAAGAAGCTTCATGTGTAAAATTTAAATAGTTTAATAAGTTCTTTGTAGTTTGTATAAATAAATAATTGATAACTATTGTTTAAATAGTTTGTTCTCAGTTTTGGTGAAGTCTATTAAAGATTGTACCTATATTTATGAAGAAATTTCGAGGCACGAGTTAAGACCTGTAGTGTCCTGCGCAAATGTAACAACATGATGAAGACTAGGGTCGAAAGCTTTGTTAAATATGTATTGTGATCCACAAAATCCTAACACAATTTGCCAATGTGGTTAAATTGAGGATGGTTAAATTGGGGATTGTTTTGCACGCTGTTGTTCTCGTTGGGTTGTATTCGTGGAAATCAGAGGGGGGATAATGCACGATTCACACGTGAGGATTATCATGAAGGGAGGGATCAAGGATAATCAGGGATAAGACGTGGATAGAAAACAGAGTTGATATGTCACGTAGGTCATATAGCTTAACTGATTAAACGAGCATGCGAGTGCATGAGAGTTGGGATTCATGAGACCTTGCTTAGCTGTTCTCAATGCTTTCCCAACACTATCAACACCCATCAAACATTTATTTTGTTAATCTAGAGCTTGAAATGTTCGCCGTAATAATGCGTGACTATCAATTCTTACTCCTCGTTTGAGGCTTTACAATGGAGATTCCGACCTATTTTCATAGGATTTTGAAAACATTTTTCATTGTTGATCGAAGTCTCCATCAACGCTTGATATATTAGTAGTCATGTTCCTAATTATTCCTAGTGCGATTTTATGGCGACGTAATTAACATTCATACAGGTGTTTCCAGACAAAAACAAGTTAAAAATATCTCCGTTATCTCTTTGTTGTCTATATATATATATAGATGTTTTTCAACATTAAGTCTTTGACTTATGAAATACGTTTCATTCCTTTAAAGATATTGGAAAACCTGGCCTAGAAGAATTCATCTCTTTTCCCAATGAAAATTGTTTTCAGGATACGACAAATTGATTAGGTTTTTGACATTACAACATGAGTTTATTTTGCATACACCTCTGCAATATAGCAATATAGTTATCAGGTATTCCTTATACAATCTTAGAAAATTTTTTTTAAATATAAAAGATTTCAACTTCTTTTGGCATTTAAATGATTTTTTAGGATCCCAAATTTATCAGGTTTTTTCACTATTATTTTTAAATACAATATCGTATTGTAGCAGTCAAACTTCCTGGCTACGCCAGATTATTCCACTTAACTTTAATCTCTGTGTTTTTATAACAACAGTTAAACTTTTCTACGATACCACATACAAAATCATGACAAAATCAAATCCATAGAATTAATTTCTATCAAATATATAAATAATATGTGAATACTGATATCATATCTTACCTTTAGAGAAAGTTTGTATTGTTTTTGTACAAAAGTGTAAAATCCTATAGCTTCACAACTGTGTCTGTTACTCGACTGAATACCCTGCTTCCCTGCAGTCTCAATTTATATAGCCGTGACTTCCCGGAAGAATATTGTGTTACAAAAGGTGTTAGCCAGATAAATCCGTAGAGTCTTTTTTTATCTGATTCAGATTATAATCTACGAAAAAAATCATTAACGCATCTTTAATTTCTTTGTGACTTTCTATATATGAGTCACATGAATAATTCCGGTCGTTATATTCTCTCATTTCTCATTGCGAGGGAGGCAGAAAGGAAAATCAGTATGTTGATTACAAAGAACGTGGGTGCAGGCCAAATCACTTTCATATTAAGACGCTGATATATGCGGCACCATTGGATTTTTTTTGTGTTCCTATTAACATATTTGCAGCGCAGCTGCGCGCTCTGTCATAAATTACAAACGCGAGTCATCAGTTATAATAATGATTTATTTTCATTCAGATTAATATCTTTGTCATTCTAACATATTAAGTTGTCCACGCGGTATCTGACAGGGACATGTGAACGTTACGCTATAATATAGAGTACGATTTATATAACGGTTAGTGACGCGCGTAATTTAGCTGAACAATACTCATTAACAACCCTCGTTTTTTCTTCTTCCCTTTAAGTAATTGCACACTAATCATTTCAAGAAATTATATTGTTTAATGTCTTGCGGTTTTCCGATGATATAGCGTTTGAAAAGACGGCTATAGGCTAATATATTTAATGGCCAGTGACGCACAAATCGACAATCTTTACACATCAATGCAGGTTTTGTTCCTTCCTGTATTTTCAATCATTTCTTGCTTTCTTGAAGCATTTCAACGATTTTTATTCAAAAAATAATTTGTGGTTTTTAATATAGTGTTAAAAAAACCCGAAACACAACAATATAACCGTTATTGACAGACGAACAATACTCGATATAGAACGTAATTAAGAACCCTTAATTTTTTTTGTTTCTATATTTTCAATCCATGTTTGTTTTTGTCCTTATCATTTCAAGAATTTATATCGTTTGATAACTTGTGGTTTTCAAAGGCGTACAGTACAATAACAATCTGAAACACATCTATATAACGCTTAGGAATAATGCAGAAATCTGGTGAACAATTGACAGTTTGTTTGTGTCTTTGCCTTGGTGTAATCATTGTTTTTGTGTTCAAAATCGTCTCAAACATTTGCTAATAGCTTGTGGTTTCAATGATATGGGGATTAAAATGTGAAATTAAGAGGTCGTTGAGATCTTTATTAAATCGTTAAGAACAAATCATTTATCCTATAAGTTCAAAAACAGTCTTATATACACTTAAAATATTTTGACAAACAAAACTCCTATCTTTTCATTGGGCACTTTATTATCAAACAAAATTTCAAAACATGCTGATAAAAGCCAAGGCAAGCTAAGTATAGAAAAATAAATATAGAAAAAATTAAATGCTAAAGTTTAACAAAATTTGAAATTGTCAAAATATCTTATTATCTTAAATTGTTAAAATAATTTTAGATTTTAATATAAAATCGTAAGGGATTGAAGAGGTTGATGGAATCATACAAACTTTTAAATGTTATTCATGAAAACCATCCCAGCTAAATTACATGAATTACACGGAAGAAGATGTCTGTCAATAGAAGAAGAAGATCTCTGTAATAAGATGTTACGATGGAAATAAATATTTTCGCGGTCATTTGCCACAAACTCTTCAACTGGCAATCATTCCTGAGAATAAGTTGATGCATGACTTAAACTCAGATGTCTGAAGATTGAACACAAAGGAACAGCGTGATTCCAAAACAGTTACACAGTTTAAGTATACTCTTGTTTATGCTGTGAAATATATGAAAAAGATAATATATATGTATAACAAGTTTGACACTAATAAAAGGATTCGTTCTATTGTGACCAAAGTCGGGCAAAAATAAATTATTTTGACGAGCTTTCGGCCACTAGACTGTTGTCTTCCACATCTACAGGACTGATGAAAATAGCAAGCTTATAAATTATATTATATATAATATCCTATTCTATGATGTAACACGACCTAATTTATAAAATGAGCTCGCTATTTTCAATAGTCATGTATCTGTAGAAGACCTCAGGCACAGTCTAGGCCGAAAGCTCGTCAAAATAAATTATTTTTGGTCAGAGAACGATTCCTTTTTACTATGCCTTTACCTGCATGACGACGCTTCATCCATGAGTTTCACACTATTGAAAACTGTATATGCACTGTAATCGGTCAAGGAGTTACTCCAGTGTATATATATAATGTGAGTATCTAGATCTGTTTTTGGTTAATAAAATATCACCGAAGATCCGCGACGATCAAACAAATGCAACATTGTTGGGTCTGATTGAACACCATATTTGGTAATGTCGTCAGTTTCACCTTAAGAGTGGTCTACACTCGCAAGGTATCTGTGATCAGAGTAGGAATTTTGTATTGGTAATTTCTTGAAGGATTTGTAAGAAATGTCTTAGGGAACTGATTTAGTGTTTGACAGTCAGTCAGTTCCCGCAAACATTTCTTACAGTCAAATCCTTCAAAACATGGAACTTATACCCATGCAAAATTCCTACTGTGATCACAGTAATGTAAACCAGGCTTAAGATTTGACCTGATACTTTCATGCAACATGTGGATTAATAGTTGGAATCGTTTACATGAGGCATCTGACCCATAATTAAGAAACGGCTAAATCTTAAACAAATAGTTATTGTTATACGACCTACATATAGGCGTTCGTTTTGTTTGAGGAAATTAAAACTTTAGAAACATGCATAAAAAGGAAACAACATATTTAGTCAAGTTGTTAGCAAAGTAGTATGTGCACGCCTTATAGGACAATTGCGTTGGCCTGCTCGCGTGGGCAAACAGTGGAGAAATATGACAGTGGCGGAACGGTGATTAAAGTGATTACCCAGTGATTCATTCTCGTGCGCGCCGGCTGTGCGTCGAAGTTCTATGAATAAGCGCCCCCGCAGATCTCGTGCAGCGCGGAACCACAGGAATCGCGCTGTGTTATAGAGACACAGAGAAACGGGGTGTAACAATGTTTTCTTCAACGGTCAGTGTGGGTTGTGCCAATTAATAAGAAAGCTGCAGATGGTCAGGGGTACAACTCAACCTGGAAATACAAGGAGACCTTCGACGTTTCGAGCGAAGGGCCTTGTACATGAACAGAAGACACGAACGTATTATAGATACTTATCGAAGTTGTTTGAGTTGTAACTCGAACTTGACCACAAAGCAAGTTGTAACTCGAACTTGACCTTTCCTTTCTAGTTGTAATTAAGTCCTTGTCAGTCCCGACCTCGTATCATTGTCTCATTTGCTCTCAACCAAATGCGGAAAGTTTATTGAGGTTCCTGCTTGCATGCCAGTCATAATGCGCACGACAAGAGAAAGAAATGCTACATTGGGAACCAGTGTAGATCCTTCATAAAAAAGTGGTTTAAAACAGTGTAAATGTTTATGAAAGACACAACTAATTTATTCCAAAGTGTAATTGTGTCAAAGCTTTTTGATGTGACAGCAAGTTTAAAAATATCCTGGTGAGCTACGCCGCCTTTGAGACGCTCAATCTGTTGTAAATCTCGCATGTCTCAGCAATTTGCGGGGGATACATGATCACTTTTTCATATATGTTCATTACAGAGCTCTCTACATTAATTACATGCTTGACATATAATTATAATGACGGAATAGTAAGTATGTGATTTTCCAAACATAAAATGTGGAAGTTATGCAGGGATCAATTACGTAGGATAATAAAAACCATAGTTTCATGAAAGTTATAAGAGAGCATGATTTGAAATACAGTAGTATTTCAGTGGTATGGTAGTATTCCAGTGGTATGGTAGTATACCATGAAATCTGTAAAAACGTGGGTGTCCAGTGAAGATTGTATTCTACAGTAAACTGGCGTGATTTGTGTCTGAACTACCTGATAAAGATATGTCAAATGTGGGGGTCCAGTGTCTGAACTAGCTGAAAAAGATATGACAAACGTGCTTGTCCAGTGTAGGTAATATTCTACAATAAACTATCGTGGTTTGTAACCGAATTACCTGATAAAGATATCTCAAACGTGTTTCTCCAGTGTCTGAACTAGCTAAAAATCTCAAACCGTGATGGTTCAGTTTAGGTAGTTTTCTACAACAAGCTGCTTTGCATGGTTTCTGTCTAAACTACCTGAAAAAGATTTCTCAAACTCATCAATTCATGAGAGTAAATGAGCCAACCATATTGCTTTATTTTGCTCACATGATAATACTGGATACTTGGTGAAGTATAGATCTAGGACTGGATCAAAATTAATTCATCTTCGTTTAAGTAGTGATTTATTCGTATATCATGTCATTTCAAATCCTCCAAATTTGGACTGAACTTGTGCGGACGTGAAATCTAGGCCATGGTCGGATTTGAAATATTACTTGCCATCTCCAATACAGTTAATATTCTGCGCTAATGATACCGTGATTTGTATCTGAACTATTTGAAATCTATATCTCGCACGTGGTGGTCCAATATATAGATAGTGGGCCTATGTATTCAACACTAAGCTGGCGTGGTTTGGTTGGTTTGTGTCTAAACTACCTTGAAAGATATCTCGTGATTGTTCAATATACTATAGATAGTGTAGTTCCAATTAACAGGCTGCTATCTGAACGATCTGACCCCAAACTCTTCCACATAATCTTTCAAATCTAGTGTTGTATAGCATTACGAACAAACAGGAAGTCTATATTTATTCATAACGCCCGCACATCTGGGCTATAGATAGTCATTGAATCTTGTGTGATAGCGATTGAGTAGTGGCTATTACCGCTCTCTTATCAAAACTTGTATTCGTCTTGTAATTAATCATTAATTTTTAGATTAATACTCTAAATTATTGCTTACTCAACCTGACAACCTGTGCAACAGGCATATTCTAATCATGAACTGATGTGGTTTGTTTCTGAACTATCTGAAGAAGATATCTCAAACGTAGTCCCGTGTAGATAGTATTCTACAATAAGCTGTCGTGGTGTGTCGGTCTGAACTGGCTGAAAACTATGTTGTACCCACAGCAAACATAATGTGCAGGTTTGATTTGATCAAACTTTAATCAAGCAATCTAGTGCGCTAGCCATGCATCAAGGTGTTTATCTGAGCACTCTATCACTCGAGGTGTACAAGACTTTTCGGAGTGAGGCCCCTCGATGTTAAAACATGGTAAAACACTTCTCAAATATATGAACATAGTTTATTTGTGTGTGTGTGTGTGTGTGTGTGTGTGTGTGTGTGTGTGTGTGTGTGTCTTGGGTTTACTTGTGTGTCCATGTAGTTAACCAAATGATTGGCAAAAAGCTCAGATACCCACTCCCAGAGGACATATCAAAGATCAAAGCAAGCTGCAGGAAAACATCATTGATCACTTTTCATACTCATGGCTTCTAACTGCACGTTGTCTTAATTTCTGTGCTTATAAATTTCGAAACTATCGGCAACTTTTTTTCACTAGTGCTAGTTGTGACTCAAGACATTCTAAGACAGAGGAAAATAATAAAGGAGATCTCCTAAAACATTGGTCGCCATTTGTTATGACGCTGTTACGCCTGACGTGCGGGACAAAGTGATATGCATACATGAAGTGTTCCACAATACCGCCTGCTACGCAGGCTCTTCTAGTCAACTAAATGTTTTATAACTTTTATTTAGAAATTAGCCATTTTCAAAGTATCCTACTGATCCTAGGCAATCTTTAATTTGTACTAAAAATTAAAAATGGTTATTCTGTGCTACTATTAAAAATGGTTATTCTTTACTACTATTAAAAATGGTTATTCTTTACTACTATTAAAAATGGTTAATCTTTACTACTATTAAAAATGGTTAATCTTTACTACTATTAAAAATGGTTAATCTTTACTACTATTAAAAATGGTTAATCTTTACTACTATTGATAAGTCAAGCTTGTGGATAGACGCAAATCTAGCAAGAACTTCTTAATCACAGTCTATTTTTTCTAAAACACCTGCCCCCTTTCATTCACACTTATTCAGACAAAAACGTATTTATTAATTATTCAAATAAAGCTCTACGGGGTCTCTGTTGTGTTAATTACGTAGCTTTAGTTTGTAAAAATACGCGTTTAAACAATCTCGACGTTCACAACAGAGGCAAAGCTTGCTTTCAAATGCAGTTCAATTAAACAGCGAAATTAAATTACTGTTCTGCGTGTGAATGTATGCTGAAGGAGAACAAAAACTTTCAAAAACGTGTTGATAAATTGCTCGCCTAGTCTTGTTGCTTTGCTTGACTGTGAGCTGATGACGAAGCACTATATGGTGACGAGGGAGGGGGAAATATAAATGTTCATTCTTTTCAATGTTGTAGCTTGTGTTTGGCAGATAATAAGTAGGGCTTGAGAAATGTACTTTAATTTCTTTGCTCAGTTGTCAACAGTTTTGGAGTTGAAATATTCCTTTGTGAGTGATCTTGAAAGATCCTGATATTGTGGTAAATTTTAGAAAATGTTTAGACTTTTCTTACTCATTGACTGTTATTGTGTGCAGGTGATTGACATTATTCATAAACTCTTTTCCAATCCCCTTCATTATCCCCCAACATCCTGCTTGTCCCCAGTCGCTTTATGTGAATTCAGGGGGGAGTGTAGCATCGCGCGTGTAGCTCATTGAACTATAAATAAACTGGAAGGCTAACTCAGGGGGGGAAATTGAAGCCAGTGTATTTTAGTTTTTCTGAGTTATGAGCAGAAATACTCAACACTGAACATTGGGCTATATATCAAATTGAAGCTATTGAAAAACGCTATTTGGTGTAGAAATTTCAAGATTTTAGCTAAAAGGGAAATATTGAAAAATTACAAACATAATTACCGAAAATTTGCCGTTTTGCAGTTGTTTTTGTATTTTTTAAATATTTTTCTTTTCGCTGAAGTCTTGAAATTTCCACACCGAATAGCAATTTTCAATAGCTTCAATTTGATATGTAGCCCAACGTTTGGGGTCAAGTATTTCTGCTCATAACTCAGAAAAACTATTTCGGCTTCATCAAATCATAGGCCTTCATCATAGCAGTTAGCCTTCCAGTTTATTTATAGTTCAATGGTGTAGCTTTCCTATCATGCATCACAATAGTTTTTTCCCAACCACTGATCTATATATACCACTGATTATACCAAAAATTTAAGCTATATAAATTACATCTGCATTTGTACTAGCTAGATTTCACGAGTATGATAAAAAGGCAATTGCTAGATAGTATACTTCAAAATAAGATTTCCGTTTTTATTCTATTTTTAAAATAAGTTAGGGTTAGGTGAGGGTTTATGTTAGGGTTAGGTTGGGGTTAGGGTTGGGTTTAGTGTTAGGGTTAGGGTTTAGTTTTGCGTTAGGATGGTTTTATCTACGTTATAAAAATGGAAACCTTATTTTGAAGTATACTATCTAGCAATCACCATGATAAAAATAAATTTGAATCAGGTCAATGTTGCATACGTCCCCATACATTCCTATCTGCCCCTCACTCTTCTCCCCAGTCCTCACACTGAACTCACGGCAGAAAGTTTCCGTCAATGTTGGCCAGGTTTGGTAATTATTGCCGGTGAGTTTGGCCACAAGCGCCGAAAGTTCGAATGCATGAAATAATCATCGAATCTTTTGTCACGATGGCGGGAATCGTTCTTTAACAAATATTTCTTGATATTTTATGCTTTCACTGCTGGAAACTGTGATTTTTTGCTGCAGAATCTAACGGGGTAAGTATCGTAGGTTATGCAATTAAAATATAAAGTGTTAGTGTTGTATATTTGAGCAGAAATGGCGTGGCATTGGGCACTGTTTTCTTTTGTCAATAGTATACAAATGTTTCTAAAAATAACGGTTGTTTGTTACTTTAAAAGATTTAATAGCTATCTATGTTTGTCTGTCTTTACGTATAAATATTATGTTTGTTTGTTTACGGCTTCATGCCTTGTAGAAATCGAGATATATAAGTAAAAGTAGTTCATGTCAGGAGCCATCTTGAATTCCTATTAAATAGAACATGCCCCAGGTTGCCTTTTTTTTGCGTTAGAAACCCCCTCGCCCCTGAAACATGTAGCATATGTGTAATATGTAGCTGACTCTTGCAGAATGTAAGGTGTGCCCCTGCCCAATCATTCTAAATTTTGTCTAAACCTCATAATATCATTCATGTTTTGTTTACTAAATACCAGCAGTTTGTAAACAAAGGAAATGGTAGTAGACTTTACCCTTCATTGCACTCCAATAGTCTCGCTTTCATGACGTTATTTCCTTGTGTTTGGTGCCCAAGGTTAAGCATAGCTTTGTGTTTGCATCAAGATCAAAACTTACCTGTGCATGGAACTTGTATATTACCACAGGAGGAAAATGGTTTTGAGTGGTTTTAGAGATTTACCATGTTGAATTGATGAAAGAGTTTTTCCATTCATGGAATATTCATGGCAAAACTCTTATTGATTATTATTATGTGCATGGCAAAGATGTTTTACTGGAAACAAAAACACTCGTATTCTCCATATTTCATTAGTAATATATGAAAAAAAATGTAATGCGTGTGTTTCCTCACACGGCTGCCAAATAAATAGAGAATAATACATGGGTGCGTGGAAATACCAGATTTATTTCGAGTGTTGAACATGATGCCTCACGAGTGAGCGCAGCGAATGAGTGAGATATCATGTTCAACACGAGAAATAAATCTGGTATTTCCAAGCACCCATGTATTTTTCTGTTTATTATATACACAAAATTCAGTGAAAAACAATAAAACGTCGGTGGCAATGGGTTTTACAACAAATTACATTTTCACACGTAAAAATATCGAATTTTTTACATGTGTTTAAATACGATTTTTCTCAGTGGCCAAAAACTTTATATAACACTTTTGTTTATATAATAAAGTATGTTCTTATTGAGTTTCTTTTCATTTTTGTCCATATAATAAAAAGAACATTACACGGAGGCTCGAACATATGAATATTATGTTCTCGTGTTAAAAACAATATTTTACTCGCTGCACTCATTCATAAAATGTTGTTTTTACCACTGAGGATATTGGGATACAGTTTAATATTCAAGGGTAAATACCAACCTAAAATAACACCACAATTGTCCAACTTTAATGGCTAAACACACTTGCCCACAACAAAAAAGTACCCTTCAAGTCCTGGGTCATTTCAGGAAAGGTGGACCACACTTTTATCAGAATAATTTTTTGTGTGCTTGAAATCTGGATTTTTTCTGGATTGTCCTGTACTGACATCACAAGATTGCAAGGATTAGGTTTAAACTGTAGAAATGTATTGTCTAGGATCTCTCTGTGGTGCAGCTGGTTGCATGATGCAGCGTACATATCCAAAGCGGCAAAAATATTCGCTTCGCCTGCCCTACTCTCCGCACCAGAATGTTCCAAGTCATGCGAGAACATACAACTCGCCAGTTCACCACAGTGGTAGTCCCAGAAGATTCCTCACCCCAGAAAACAACTGTCTCAGAAGCTATAACTCCCCAGAAATGCGGAATGGTGACAATGCAGTTTCATCGCCACCCTTCTATCATCTTTCTCCAAAGTATCAGAGAACAAATATCAGTGACAAGCATCCATCTAACAGACAAAACAATGAACCATACTGGATTGAAAATTTAAAACATGAACCTAGCGACGCATCTCATTATTCACCTAAGCCAACAATTGTTAGTGAAAAGTATACATACAGCCCAGGGCAAACTAGAGAACCGTACTGGGCCGACACTGTTGGACGCAAGGCGAACAACACTTCGCCAAAATTGATACATGTGAGCGAGAAGCGTCCAACCCGACAAACCAAAGAACCTTATTGGATGGAGAGTTTCGAACATTATGAACTCAGCTCACATCCTGAAGACTTGCAAGAAGCTGATGATTTTGGTATGAATGCATATTTTTTATACTTGCAGTTTGACTCCTGTTTCCTCAGTTTCCTCGTGTTGTAACACTAGATCAATAAAAAATGTCCTTAGTGGACCTCACAAAGTAACAGTAAGATCACATGACCCTTACTAGACCTTCAGAAAGAACAGTTACTGAGCTATCTAGTAGAAATAAAGTAGTTTACACTGCCTTATTATTTGTTTAATAACCCAACTAAACCTAAGGAAAAAATACTTGGGTTTCCAGTTTCTCGACCCTAACTAGCTTTTGGCCATTGAAATCACTCACCCTAATCTTTTTTATCTGTCGAAGTTTGCATACAACTTGGAGCAATTTTTCCATGGTATTAGTTTTGTACTAGAAAATACATGCATGCAGAAACCCTCGCCTTGCTGACAAAACCATTGTATTTTCCGAACATGAAGTATCTAAAGTAGTTGTCATGGTAACACAATAATTTTTTAAGAATATTCTTACAAATGAAAAATCTCCTAAAAATATCACTTTTAATTACAAAATTATTAATTTCCCAACATATATATGTTAGGTATGTTATTATACGTAATATAAGCCTCAATTTAAGGTAAAATTCAACCACAAACGCTTCGCAAAACGTTTTCAAAGTCACTATAGTGTTATAAAACTAAACTGCCTTTTAAAATGGCTTTATCGATAAACTTCGAGTTTGCAAATAACTTTGCTTTCTTTTTTATTTAAAAAATTCAATATCATAAGAAACAAATCAATATTAAAGATACTGAAATTATATGCTGTTTTGTTTAGTTGTTTCATATACGCAAAGGCCGTCGGGTTTTAAATCCATATAAAATCAATATTTAAAACAAAGTTACCTTCGTTAACGTCGGCTCCCTTTTTTTAGCCGATTCTTTCGCAGTTTGTTTCTCAGAGAGTTTTTGAAATTTACAAAATCTTGCAAAAATGCAAGCAAAATGAAATATATTTGCAAGAAATTTATCCGAATCATCAAATCAAGAAATGTTTGCTATTTCGCTGTCGTCATGCAGTCTTTAGAAGATAGATAGAAAAACTTTATTTAAACACGCTGACCCCGTCAACCGAAGCTGATTTCCACGGGGGGCGTGTGCAAACTATACAGATACACTAAAAAGCTATTTACAAAATTATATAAGATATATAGTATTAAATAAGTTAAAGTAATTTAGATATATTTACAAATCATTAATCAATCAGTCAATGTGAGTAACGATTTTTTTCCGAAAGGCAGAAAGGAATTTGCTCTCTCTAATTTCTTTTGGAATTGAATTCCATAGGTGTGCTCCGTCATACATGAAACTTTTTTTCATATTATTAGTACGCGGTTGTGGTAGACAAAGACCACTTGAAATATCTCGGAGGTGATACTTTGTTTTCTCACCTTTATATGTGAAAAGATTAGAGAGTGACTTGGGACCCATTTTATTTAATAATTTGTACATTATTTTTGCTTTCCCTTTCTTTCTTTCTGTTTTAAGTGTCTTCCAACCCAATGCTTGCAGAGCAACAGAATGATCTGTGTCATTGCTCATATTCATAATGATTCGAGCAGCTCTATTTTGGAGTTTTTGGAGTCTTTTTGATTGTGTCTCACCAAACACATCCCATACTTCACAGCAGTAATCGAAGTATGGGCGAACAATAGCATTATACACAGAAAGAAGGGCTTGCTTATCAGCAAATTCTTTCAGTCGTCTAAGAGCAGATATACCGGATGTTATTTTCTTGCAAATATTCTCAGTGTTACTTTTCCAAGATAAATGCTGGTCAATTGTCACCCCAAGGGTTATGGATTCATGAACTTGCTTAACTGATTCGTTTTCAATTTTAACGTTTAGTTGTAGATCTGAAATACTTCTAATCATTTGTTTAGAGCCAATAAACATAAACTCTGTCTTAGCTACATTTAGGCTAAGTTTATTGGCAATTAGCCATTTTCTAAGATTTTCTAAATCAGAATTCACTGCAGCCTCAAGATCAGTAATAGAGTCTCCAGAAGCTGTCAGGTTCGTATCGTCAGCAAACAGCCGAGGTTTTGTTTTATATAGACATTGAGGCAAATCATTAATATATAGTAGGAAAAATAGTGGCCCTAAAATAGAGCCTTGTGGTACTCCACATTTGATCAGTTTCTCTGATGAGAGAGAGTTTTGAATTTGGCATTTCTGCTTTCTATTGGAGATATACGATTGGACAAAAGATAGGGCTTGCCCTTTTACTCCATATAACTCTAGTTTTTTCAATAAAATTTGATGGTCAACAGTATCAAATGCTTTCTTTAGGTCAATTAAGATTACCAGATTAAATTTTTTCCTGTCTAGATTCATATACCACTCGTTTGTACAGTCCAGTAATGCTGTAGTTGTAGAGTGAAATTTTCGAAAACCAAATTGACAATCACTTAGATGCCCAAATTTAGTTAAATAATCATATAGTTGATCATATAGAATTCGTTCCATAATTTTACTAATGGTTGGCAAAACTGAAATTGGCCTGTAATTTCCTGGCATGTTTCGTTGGCCATTCTTATAAAGAGGTATTACTTTAGCTGTTTTCCATTCATCAGGGAAAATGGATAGAGTAATAGCTTGATTGAATATGTATGTTAGGGAATCTGAAATGACAGGTGCAGCTATTTTAATAATTTTGCATGAAATCTTATCAACTCCAGTAGCTTTATTGCTAGAAAGACAATGTAAGAGTTGGTAGACATTCTGGACAGTGACTGGCTGGAACGCAGCGAATTCTGATTTAGCATTCTCAACATATGTTTCATAGTTGAAATTTGTAGAATCAATTTTGCTAGCAAGATCAGGGCCAATATTTGAAAAGTAATCATTAAACCCCTCAGCAATATCTTGTATAATGCAAACTATAAATTGGACCAATCAGTGTCCGCTATTCGTGATAGTCCACCATATTTTTGAGATCAGTGAGGATGACCACCCACCCAACACCGTTGGTGACCCACGCCCGCGATAATTGATGAACTTTAGACTCCGCTAATGCTTTCGTTTCCCCGGGTGTAAATAGCCGGGGGGAATTAGTACCCTTACACGGCGCTGTCGGCTCGGGGACAAATGTTTGTTCCACCTGTGTTGCTGCAATTGACGTGACATGAGAATATCACTCTCATGCATGCGCTTGTTTTTTGGATTTTACGTCATTGTGTATGTTGATGTTATGGACTCAGGTGAATATGATGTTTGTGATGTTACTTTGAGTGTGTATCCACACCGGGCAAGCTAAAAAGTTTGCCTGACCACAGTGGGAATCGAATCACAGTGGGAATCAAATAGTATCCCAAAGGTTGTGGGTTCGATTCCCACCGTGGTCAGGCAAAATTTTCAGCCTGCTCGGTGTAGATGCACACTTAGTTATCACAAAGTAGTTCATGCACCCCCTGATTGATCCAGCTCTGGTTTCTGCTGCTGAAGTCTATGGTATCTCTCACTTACAGCACAACCACCGATGGTCCATAGAGAGTTACCAACATCTACACCACAATGTGATCGCAGTCTGTCATACAGATTTCCTATTCAAGATCCACAATGCTTGAGAAGATGTGTTTCATCATTGAAACGAAAACATCAAGAAACAACTACCCATGATGTCAAAATATCAAAATTGGAATCTTCAGAAAGTAAAAGTACCTCCACCAAGAAAACAGAATGTAGCAAAGAGGCAAATACTCAAAGTAGTTCAAAATCTTGTGGAATTCCAAAAAGTAATTCTGAAGGTTCTTCTCAATCCAATTCAATTGTGGCAACATATGACGGTAATGGAAACTTTATTGTAGTGAGTAAAGCAAGTTCTACAGTTACAACTAGTGGGAACAACCAGACTTTGTCAAGTTCATTTCTAGATCGATTTGAAAATGATCCAGAAGAAGGTTAGTTATCTCTTTGTGTTCCAAACAATACCTCTAACACACTATTGTCATAAACAATAACGCCATTGTCATAAACAATAATTCCATTGTCATAAACAATAACTCCATTGTCATAAACAATAACTCCATTGTCATAAACAATAACTCCATTGTCATAAACAATAACTCCATTGTCATAAACAATAACGCCATTGTCATAAACAATCATGCCATTGTCATAAACAATAACTCCATTGTCATAAACAATAACTCCATTGTCATAAACAATAACGCCATTGTCATAAACAATAACTCCATTGTCATAAACAATAACTCCATTGTCATAAACAATAACTCCATTGTCATAAACAATAACTCCATTGTCATAAACAATAACTCCATTGTCATAAACAATAACTCCATTGTCATAAACAATAACTCCATTGTCATAAACAATAACTCCATTGTCATAAACAATAACTCCATTGTCATAAACAATAACTCCATTGTCATGAACAATAACTCCATTGTCATAAACAATAACGCCATTGTCATAAACAATAAATCCATTGTCATAAACAATAACGCCATTGTCATAAACAATAACTCCATTGTCATAAACAATAACTCCATTGTCATAAACAATAACTCCATTGTCATAAACAATAACTCCATTGTCATAAACAATAACGCCATTGTCATAAACAATAAATCCATTGTCATAAACAATAACGCCATTGTCATAAACAATAACGCCATTGTCATAAACAGTAACTCCATTGTCATAAACAATAATGCCATTGTCATAAACAGTAACTCCATTGTCATAAACAATAATGCCATTGTCATAAACAACTCCATTGTCATAAACAATAATGCCATTGTCATAAACAACTCCATTGTCATAAACAATAACTCCATTGTCATAAACAATAACTCCATTGTCATAAACAATAATGCCATTGTCATGAACAACTCCATTGTCATAAACAATAATGCCATTGTCATAAACAGTAACTCCATTGTCATAAACAATAATGCCATTGTCATAAACAGTAACTCCATTGTCATAAACAATAATGCCATTGTCATAAACAACTCCATTGTCATAAACAATAATGCCATTGTCATAAACAGTAACTCCATTGTCATAAACAATAATGCCATTGTCATAAACAACTCCATTGTCATAAACAATAATGCCATTGTCATAAACAGTAACTCCATTGTCATAAACAATAATGCCATTGTCATAAACAACTCCATTGTCATAAACAATAACTCCATTGTCATAAACAATAATGCCATTGTCATAAACAACTCCATTGTCATAAACAACTCCATTGTCATAAACAATAACTCCATTGTCATAAACAGTAAATCCATTGTCATGAACAATAACTCCATTGTCATAAACAATAACGCCATTGTCATAAACAATAATTCCATTGTCATAAACAATAACTCCATTGTCATAAACAATAACTCCATTGTCATAAACAATAACTCCATTGTCATAAACAATAACTCCATTGTCATAAACAATAACTCCATTGTCATGAACAATAACGCCATTGTCATAAACAATAATGCCATTGTCATAAACAATAACTCCATTGTCATAAACAATAATGCCATTGTCATAAACAATCATGCCATTGTCATAAACAATAACTCCATTGTCATAAACAGTAAATCCATTGTCATAAACAATAACTCCATTGTCATGAACAATAACTCCATTGTCATAAACAGTAAATCCATTGTCATAAACAATAAATCCATTGTCATGAACAATAACTCCATTGTCATAAACAATAACGCCATTGTCATAAACAATCATGCCATTGTCATAAACAATAACTCCATTGTCATAAACAATAACTCCATTGTCATAAACAATAACTCCATTGTCATAAACAATAACTCCATTGTCATAAACAATAACTCCATTGTCATAAACAATAACTCCATTGTCATAAACAATAACTCCATTGTCATAAACAATAACTCCATTGTCATGAACAATAACGCCATTGTCATAAACAATCATGCCATTGTCATAAACAATAACTCCATTGTCATAAACAATAACGCCATTGTCATAAACAATAACTCCATTGTCATAAACAATAACTCCATTGTCATAAACAATAACTCCATTGTCATAAACAATAACTCCATTGTCATGAACAATAACTCCATTGTCATGAACAATAACGCCATTGTCATAAACAATAACTCCATTGTCTTGAACAATAACGCCATTGTCATAAACAATAACTCCATTGTCTTGAACAATAACGCCATTGTCATAGTGTGAGGGACATTTTCCAAAACAATTTATCATTGTACAAATACTGGGGTTTCACTAAGCACTGTCGTGCAGCAGATGGTGGTCAAACTGCAGTTATCAGAGTGAGTAGTAGTCTTGTAAGTTGAGTCTTGTAAGTTGAGTCTTGTAAGTAGTAGTCTTGTATTCAAGGGCAAATGAATAGAATTGAGAGATGCAGTTTGTTGCTCCCACATGCGTCGACATCAGAAATGGTGACCACCATCTACTCTAGTACTTACTGAGATCCACCAATGCTGTCATACTTACTGAGATCCACCAACGCTGTAGTATTTACTGAGATTCAACATTCACATTTTAAGCTTAAAGTCCATTCAGAGGTTGTTTGCACATGTGATCCCGCGGGATGATTTTGATGTATTGAAATAAGTCACTAGGCTTAAACGAAAGTTAAAGGGACTGAAGATTTACTATTGCTTGATCAACCTTTCGTTCGCAATTATACTACTAGGAAAATAATGCGGTTTTGCTGAATTATGAACCATGACTTATTTCGATACGTCGGAGTAGGCAATTCCAGCTATTGACTAAGTTTTGATCTAGGCAAGAAGAACAAAATCCATCACCACAGCTAGAAAGAATGTTCTTTAATGAAAGAACGTTGAAATTAGTAAAATTTCAAAGTTTGTTGGCAAAATATTGTAAAATGAGGGAATGTATAAATATAGCCCTGTAAATATAGCCCTGTGAAGTTCGCAAATTTTGTATAGATTTGTATTAAGCGCGGTAAAAATAACCACTTTCGGCTTAAAAATGGTCTTTTTCACGCGCGTAATACAAATCTATACAAAATTTGCGAACTTCACAGGGCTATATTTTCCTCATTTCACAATTTTACTAATTTTGACATGCTCTTTCTAGCTGTGGTGATGGATTTTGTTCTTCTTGCCTAGATTAAAATTTAGTCTACATATAGCTGGAATTGCCTATTATCCCGCCTCTCATTCCGGCAAAGCGAGATCATGTAAACAGCCCCTTATTCTCCCTTTACAGATGACATAGAACTGGTCTCATTTGACGTTCAAGAACTGAAAGTAGAAACAACTTGTAAAGACAAAGTAGAAGAGCAACAGAGCAGTTTAATTCGGGTTGAAAGTAATCATGGTTCCAATGACCAATCGTCAAAAGAAATTGAAGTTGAAAAATCTAAAACCAATATTGAGGTTTTGAAAATCGACAGTGATGATGCAGAAAGTTTGAAAACTTGTGCTAAAGTTGAGAATGATGAAACAGAAAGTTTATCCGAGGCTGAAAGTGAGGTGTTTGATGACATTTTCCTAAAAACGATCAGTAAAGAACTCGAAAATGATGCCCATTGGTCAGAAGAAGCTACCCAACCTAAAGAAAGCGGTGAGAAAAATGGTGGAGCTGATTTTGATTACAATGATGACGAACCCTCGCGTTCTGAAGGAAGTATTTCACCGACTTTTGATAGTACCTTGTTACGATATCTTGACGATAATATCCGTAATCGAATAGAGAATAGAGAATTGTCTTCACATGCTAAAGAGGTCGGTGATGGTGACAAAGATCAAGCAGTTGGGAATAAAGGGCCCAAACCAGTCGATGATAGCGAAGAAAGCGATAGCACGATTATATTCCCCGAGGCGCAGCACGAGAGATCAGTTTTGGGTAAAACATGTGACGAGTTAGCAAGCAATGGTGACACGAAAGAGACAAAAAATGATCGTGATCAGTCTGGTAAGAGTTCTGAAAGTGCAAGTTCTCAGCTATGTATTGGTAGTACTGTTGAAAAGAGTGATTGTACTGTTCCTGTTGCAATAACCAAGGTTCCTGATAGTGAAGATCCCCAGCAGAGAGTCGTTGAAGAGAACAAGAAAGATAGCTGTACGCCTGTTGCAACAAATATCCCACAAAGTCTAAACATGAGGGAGACCAAGAATGATGGTGTTACTATACCCAAGATTTCTGATGAAAAAGATGCAGAAACGTTATTACAATTCGACCAAGAATCATTATTTCCCGCCACTGTCCAAGAATGTGCTAGTACAAAGATTGATACTGATACATCATTGGATGAAATGCCGTTATCTTATAGACAGAAACTATCTCAAAACTTTGAGACGAGGGATAAAACCTTAGTTTCAACAGACAACCACACTGTTGAGGGTACGGGTAAAATCCCGATATCTAGTATGGCTTCTCGTGAAACTACTAATGGTTCTGGAAGTAAAGATAAAACTAAAACCGTACGTGAAACGGACAATTTCAGTACAAATGTTCAGGGAGCTGAGGCATCTTTAGATCAAAGGGCGTTATCAAATAGGATGACTGGTTCTAGTGAAACAATTGCAAATTCTGAAATATCATCTCGTGAACAATGCCAAGACTCTGAAAATAACATGCCAGACGTCGCTCCTACGCTGGAGACGTCTACGGACAATGACATGAATGTTGATGAAGCGATCAAATTTATAAGAGAAAAGTGTGAAGGAACGGTAAAAAAGTCCGTGAAACGGTTTGAGTCTGTGGTAAATAAACCTACAGAAGCGGGACAAGAAATGACAACGAACGAAACGGATAAGACTTCCGAATCCAAAGAAGGAAATAAAGAACCACAACAGATGATGAGTGAAGAAGACAATAGTTCTTTTGACATGAGTAATAGTTCGATTGAAGACAACAATAGCGCCTTTGTACCTCTGTGTGAACGCTTCTTACAGAGTGTTAAACAAGAACTGCATGGAAAGGAAGAAAAAAGCAAAAATGGAAATAGTCAAACCAATGAAGGTGACAATAGCTGTGGTACCAAAGACACTTTTAGTGCTGAAAAGAACACAGCAAATGTTGACATTTCTGAGGCTGTTAGTAGTGATTCATCAAAAGTTGCGAGTTCGGGTACAACTCAAAGCCAGGAATCCAGTACATATAATATGCTTCATTCTGCGGTATTGGCTTCTAAAATGGTCAATCTTAATATACCAAATCAATCATCCCACGACAATGAAGATGTTAGTTCAAAAGATACAGGAAAAGTCATTAGTGTAATGTCTCATATCGAAGTTGCCAGGGTCCTTGTTTCGAAAATACTGAGTGAGAAACCCAAGCCATTTGAAGAGTCCGAGTCTGTATCAATGTCGAAGGCCATAGAAGTGGTAGAAGGAAAAATCAAAGATCCCGAAACATCGATGACTAACGTATCCAATAATCTTGATTCGAGAATTTTGAGGGAAAAGGCCAAAACATCTAAAGAACTTGAAGTAGAGGTCTGTAACATTGATACGAAAGCAATTCAAATCTCAAATGCTACGGAAGGGATAAAAGACATTGGTATCAATGACCCAGACATGCCCAAAGATTTGATGGCTGGAATGTCTAAACCTCTTGGTTTGGAAAAAGAAATTACGTTGTCAAAGAGAGCCATAGAGCCAAAAGGAGAGAATTGTAATCCTGAGGATCTTGTAGATATGACTACCGTACCGATAGGAAGTATTGCTAAGAACGATCCAGACATTTGCAAGACCCATGGTTTGGAAATTCACAAGGCCTATATAGAGATAGAGTCAGAAGTGAGTTCTAGTCCAGAAGAAATGGCAGTTCAGACGTCCAAGAAGAATGCAGATTCGGACGTTCAAAATTGTGATCGTAAAGATGCAGAGATAGAGAGTTCTAACACCAATGATATATTCGATCCACACATATCTAAGAGCTCAGAGGCTGCAGTCAAGGTCAGTGATAGCTTAGATATTGAAGATAACAATCAATCTCAAGGAACGTACGACGAAACCCATACAGGTTCAAAGCCTGATATTGAAATCCCAAGTCAGATTTCTGAGGCAACAGATGAAGGTGCTAAACATTTAACGAAAGATTTGCAGATGTTGGAAAACCCAGAGATTTCTGAGATGGCAGAGCCTGTTATTTCCCAGAATAGAGCAAACTCGTCCTCCAATGATTCATTGACAACTAAATTGGAAGCAATGACGTCCGATGTTGAAATGAGTACGAATGGAAATTGGGGTTTACCTACACCTGACGAGCAGGCTACTCGTGGCGTGGGGCCCAATTCAATTGGTACTGAAGATTCAGAAAGAATGGAAACTGATGATTCAGACTTACGCATTGTTTGCAATGCAGCGTCTGGGTTGCCTGATGATGAAACACCACAGGCGACCGAAAACCAAGAGAAAGCTGTTGTGGAAGAGATTTCCAACTCGCCTGTTGCAAACAGTCCAGCGTATATTGTGACTGAAGATGAAACACAACAGGCGACCCAAAACCAAGAGAAAGCTATTGTGGGAGAGATGTCAAATTTGCCTGTTGCAAAAAGTCCAGCGTCTACTATGACTGAAAATGAAACACAACAGGCGAGCCAAAATCAAGACAAAGCTGTTGTGGGAGAGATGTCAAACTCCTGTGTTGTAGGTTCAGCGTCTACAATGACTGAAGATGAAACACAACAGGAGAGCCACAACCAAGAGAAAGCTGTTATGGGAGAGATGTCAAACTTGCCTGTTGCAAATAGTCCAGCGTCGACAATGACTGAAGATGAAACACAACAGGTGAGCCACAACCAAGAGAAAGCTGTTGTTGGAGAGATGTCAAATTCCCGTGTTGCAAACAGTCCAGCGTGTATTGTGACTGAAGGTGAAACACAACAGGAGAGCCACAACCAAGAGAAAGCTGTTATGGACGAGATTTCCAACTCGCGTGTTGCAAAAAGTCCAGCGTCTACTATGACTGAAGATGAAGCACCACAGGCGAGCCAAAATCAAGACAAAGCTGTTGTGGGAGAGATGTCAAATTTGCGTGTTGTAGGCCCAGCGTCTACAATGTCTGAAAGTGAAACACCACAGGAGAGCCAAAACAAAGAGAAAGCTGTTATGGACGAGATTTCCAACTCGCGTATTGCAAAAAGTCCAGCGTCTACGATGACTGAAGATGAAGCACAACAGGTGAGCCACAACCAAGAGAAAGCTGTTGTGGGAGAGATGTCAAATTCGCGTGTTGTAGGTCCAGCGTCTACAATGACTGAAAGTGAAACACCACAGCAGAGCCAAAACCAAGAGAAAGCTGTTATGGACGAGATTTCCAACTCGCTTGTTGCAAACAGTCCAGCGTGTATTGTGACTGAAGGTGAAACACAACAGGCGACCCAAAATCAAGACAAAGCTGATGTGAGAGAGATGTCAAACTTGCTTGTTGCAAACAGTCCAGCGTCTACTATGACTGAAGGCGAGACACCACAGGCGATCCAAAACCAAGAGAAAGCTGTTGTGGGAGAGATGTCAAACTTGCGTGTTGCAAACAGTTCAGCGTCTACTATGACTGAGGATGAAACACAACAGGCGAGCCAAAATCAAGAGAAAGCTATTGTGGGAGAGATGTCAAACTTGCTTGTAGGTCCAGCGACTACCACGATTCAGGATGAAACTCCCCAGGTATCCGAAGAAGAGAAGCAGGCTGATGTGGAAGGTAATGAGAGTTCAAAGTCGGATTCATCTGGCCCTGAAGCTGTTAAAGTTCATTCAAATTCCGATGCAGATCATGCTAAAGTTGATGTTGATGTTGATGTTGAACATAAAAATATTTCAAAATCGGATTCATCAGGTGCTGAAGTGCTTAAAAGCAAAGTTCATTCAAATTCCGATGCAATTGATTGTATTTCGTTCATTGAAGATAAAATACCACAAGTGAGCAAAGAGAAAGAAGATGTTGAACATAAAAATAATTCAACATCGGATTCATCAGACACTGTAGTTCCTAAACGTAAATTTGATAAAGATACTTCAAAACCAACTGTTAAAAGCAGAGATGACAATGACGATACTGTGGCTGTTAGAAGCAGCGAGGACAATGATGACCCTGTTAAAAGCAATGACAATGGTGACGACACTGTCAAGAGGAATAATGGAACCTTTGATGAAGTCATAGTTTTGGCAGAACAGCAGGAAACATCAAATGAGCTTAAGATACCTGAACAGCAGAAAAACAATGACAGCACGATGGAGGAAGATCTTACAGTCCCTGTTGAAATTAAACTTGAAGAAAACCTCACATCTCCCGATGAAAGTAAACTTGAAAACGACAGTTTCGTTCGCAATGAAAGTAATCACGATGATCTTCTAGTCTCTAAACTGGATAAAGTTAATGATCAGGACATTGATATGATGAAAAAGATGATTTCCAAATTACTTGTACCAGACGAAAACTTTTCTTTTTTTCTCGAAAAATACGTGGAACTGAACGACAAGGTAGACAAGATTAATGGTGCAGCTGATTTTGATTACAATGATAACGGACCCTCGCGTTCTGAAGGAACGGGTTTAACAGCATCAGTGCCACCATCACCTGATAGTGTAATGACTGATAGTGAGAATTCCTCAGCCTCTTCTGAAGATGCATACGTGCAGAGTCTTATAGCAAGAGCTCGTCAGTTGAGTGACATGGATTTGTCAAGCCTTGAAAGTAGCGATATCGAAATGGGTATGCCACCAGATTTGTCGGGAATACAAGAAGGTAGTATGGATACTGAATTGACAAATGATTGTGCTTTGAATAAAGCTAGTCAAAAATGTAACCCTGAAATGGATAGTACAAGGAATGAGAGCAGTGATATTGTAATGGCAGTCCTATCACATCCGCCCGAAACCCATGAAACTGATGTACCACACAATGAATTGGCAAAAGATCTTGTTTCGAAAAAAGCTGGTGAAAAAAGCGACACTGAAATGGATAAAACAAGCAATCAGAGCAGTGTTATTGAAACTTATAATAAAACAGGAACACATGAATTAACCAAGGATCTTGACTTGATACACGAAGATTTTATATCATTGTCTAAAGAATTAAAACAAAGACACGAAACCTTAGTATGTAATAGCTCAACACAGGAAAGACAAACTACTCGTACATCGGTAAATCAATCGAGAGTTTCACGTAGAGTATCCATTAAAGAGCGGAAAGAAGTTTCGAAGAATATCAAAGAAGTTTATAAGAATGGAACAGATCTTTCTAAATATGGCAAAGGACTTTCTAAGAATAACAACGAAACTTCCATCAGTAACCAAGAGCTTTCTATCAATAACAAAACACCTCGTAAAAGAGGTCGCCCTCCAAAACGATCATACCAAATGCTAGTACAAAAACCTGACAATCAAGAAGATGTTTCTGCCAAAAAGCCCGAAAGACGCTCGCCCCGTCAAGAAGATGTTTCTGCCAAAAAGCCCAAAAGACGCTCGCCGCGGCAAATTCTTTGCAGCCGAGCAATACCTTACCGTCGAGATATGTTCAAGACATTCAATCTAGGTCGATCAAAAGACTCCATAAAGCTTGAAAAAAATTTTAGGGAGAAAGACGGGGAGACATTCGAACTTAATGTAGATCAAGTTATTGATATAGTGGATGTTTGTGGTGACGTAGATGATTTTCACCTCAAGTTAGATGATGCGTCTGAAGAAGACCATTGGTCACCTGATCAGCTCTATAATTTTCTGGGTTGTCCTTCCAATGAGAAGACCTTGCCACAAAACTCCTTAGGTAGTTCTATATCACTTCAGACAACTAGTTTACCCGCAAGCAGTACCAAACCAATTGGGGAGGCTGTTATAATCAACAGAACAAACTCTGGTACACGTGGCGAAACCACACTGAAAGAGCGCACTCCGCGTGGTTCTTTACCACAGGGGATTGACAATTCAGTTGCAGGAAACAGTTCTCAAGGCGGTGCATTACCAAACCAGCTTGGAAAATCATTAACTATACCAAGAATAATGATGGGTGCTACACCTAATAAATCCATAGCAGAAACAAGTTCTTTAAAAAGTTCTTTGGCAGACCAGACTTGTAATCCACCATCCAGTAGTACCACACCAAGGCGCAGTACATGTGCCACGTCCTTACGGGAGGAAAGTCCTGCAAGCGATACCATTCCACTCTGTTCCCTCGGTGCATCAAACAATGTCGATAGAAATGAGAATGAAAGTAGCAAGTCGTTAGCGGAGGAGAGTTCAATGAGCGATTTACACGATGATCGTAGTTCCACACGAAGTGAAGTTTGTGTTTCCCTCGGTACAGCCAAACCTGATGAAGGAAGGCTTACTGGTTCCATGTCAAGTGAGATGACACGTGATAAGAGCTTACCTGAGAATATGCGTTTGAGCATTTCGGAGGTCCCAAGTGCTTCCACATCAAATGGGCTCCATACAAGTCTTGGTAGTTCTAAACCAAGCGAGAGGTCTCAGTCCTTGGATGGTTCTGATGAGAATCTTGTACCTACGTCGGCTGATTTTTGTAGTTCTAACGGTTCGTCTTTACCAACGTCTCCTCTCTCTCAAAATATGGAAGATATTAGCAGTTCCACAGGATACAGCTCAACATCAACGGCGATTATGGACAGCCAAGAGAGTTCGATAGAGAGCAATGAACGACATGACACAGGAGAGTCTTTAAAGATCACACTAATCAGTGAAACAGATCCTAACACTGGCAAGACAAACTGGACTCAAAGTCCTGGAAAACTCACAGAAAGTGCCAAGGTAAATGTTTCAAATCTTTAAGAATTCTAAGAAAGCTTTATGAGTAGATGTAGTGTTTTTCAGAAAGTTCAGACACCTACACTGGACCACCACGTTTGAGATATCTTTTTCAGGTAGTTCAGACACAAAACATGACAGCTTATTGTAGAATACTACCTACACTGGACCAGCACGTTTGAGATATCTTTTCAGGTAGTTCAGACACAAACCACGACAGCTTATTATAGAATACTACCTACACTGGACCACCACGTTGGCATTACTTTACTGTTTAAAGCAGAGTACATATGGGAGGGATAAATAAAACAATTAACTTAACTTTTTTCTTTTAATAGAAAGAACCATGTACGGGGTATGGATTGCGTCCTTCAAAGACAAGAAAAACGAAACACCCATCACCAACTCCAACAGATCCTCACGGTAGAATCTTAATATAACATTACAAATGTGTAGATTTTCCTTTCATGATGAAGTTTTATCTGTTTATTTTGTAGCTAAAAGAAGACGTATCACAACCACTGATCCAAGAGTTGGAACGCAGAGTCCACAGGCCTTGCATCATCTCGCTAAACGGTAATCAATAATTTGAATGTATAGTTTACAAATGTCATGTTATCAGAGTAGTTTGTTTAAGAAATATTCAGTTTTCTGATTATAATTAAAGACGACTGCTTTCAATTTAACTCTAACAAACAGTGCACATTTTCTCTATGAACAACAGTTTCGAACTGATGGAGCTATCCAGTATAAAAAAGTTAGTTTAGTTTAGGTTTCCTCCTGTAGTAACACTGGATCAATAAGAGATGATCCTTACTGGACCTCTAGGAAGAACAGTTTCGAACTGATAGAGCTATCCAGGATAAATAAAGATAGTTTAGTTTAGGTTTCCTCCTGTAGTAACACTGGATCAATAAGAGATGATCCTTACTGGACCTCTAGGAAGAACAGTTTCGAACTGATAGAGCTATCCAGTATAACAAAGTTAGTTTAGTTTAGGTTTCCTCCTGTAGAAACACTGGATCAATAAGAGGTGATCCTTACTGTACCTCTAGGAAGAACAGTTTAGAACTGATAGAGCCAACCAATACAAAAATGTTAGTTTAGTTTAGGTTTCCTTCTGCAGTAACACTGGATCATTAAGGAATGCTAGGAAGAACAATTTAGAACCTATGGAGCTATCATGTGTAAAGTCCAGTATAAATGAAGCTAGTTTATAAATGGAAATTGGAAAGATCATATAAAAAAGTTCTAAGAATGTTTTCGTTCTCTAGACCGTTAGAAAAGTACATCCGAAATGTGGAGAAAGTATATCGTACATCTGACAAGAATCCCAAGAAAGGATCGTTGTCAATTGCTATGAATGATCACGTCAGCAAAACTGCTTCCCAAGATCAGGAAGGTGTGTTCAAGTCAAATCATTCCCAAAAGACCTTATGCATAATGACGTCACAAAGCTTGATGCCCGCGAGGAATGCTGGTCTTGGTAGTCATCGCCCGGGAAAATTAAACAATTCAAAATAGCCACTACTACGACCTGCATTCCTCGCCGGCATCAAGCCTTGTGACGTCATTATGCATAAGGTCTATTGACAAAGTCGCTGGTTCAAGGTACTTGAATCATGGGTTCAATTTCTCGGTTGTGGCATTCAGAAATATTTTTTTACGCTACACTGCTGAAGAAAGCAAAGAGTAATATGCATAATCATTTCACCCAAAAACAGAACGTTGTGAATCTATTATGCTCAGATATTTAGCGTGTCTTATTTGTTGTTCATTTAAACAGGTGACTATCTAAAGCTTGGTGACACTGACGTTATGTATGAAATTGTTAAAAAAGCTTGTGATGAAAGGTCGGTATTTTAAATAAAAAGTCATTCAAAAATGTACAGTTAAGCTGAAAAGCAACATTTTTATGAAGTTCCCAAAATCATCTGATTGTGTATGAAAAGAGCCTGGGATTTGAATGATGTTTTTTTTTCAGCAAGTTTAAGCGTAGCCGACCATCTCCTCGCTCGCTGTATTTTGCTGCAAAGCAAGGGAATGTGTTACAAGTGTTAGTGTTAGCTGCTGGTTGTAATGTGAATGCTACGATCCCTCAAGAGAAACACAAAACTGCGATGCATTCGGCAGCTGGTGCTGGTCATGCTCATGTACTAAGACTCTTGTGCATGGTAAGTGGAGATTGTTACGTTGAGTGGCATAAGTGCTATATGACAGAGGTTTGATTTCTACCCGAAGATATCTAACTGTAATTTATCCTCGGTAAGAAGGATCCAGTTGACCAAACACTACATTTTTACTTCCCCCAGGAAGTTATTATGTGTTCATCATACGAAAATATTTGGGGCTTGCGAACATTGGCTAAGGGCAAATTGATTTAGTTATGGTTCAATTTGAATGAAAATTGGATGAGAAATCAGAAAAGTTTGTCTTGCTTTGCTGGGCAGAGCAAACTGAGTTAGTCCATTGTATAATTTATTGTTTTGGCAAGGTGAGAGTCAAATAAATTTCTGAATTCTTTTTAGATTGGCGGCAATCTGTCCTGTTTGGATACAAATCTACAAACTCCATTGGTAAGTAACCGGTAGCCTGCGGTAGCCTGAGTATCAGGCCATATTTTACGCAGGTTAGTAAAAAAAGTGAAAATCCTGCTTTTTACCAGATTGGTCTATCAAACAAAAAATGTAATCTGTCCTTTGCTTGGTTAGTGCTAATTAGATTACACTATTGTTCAATATCTATTTTAGTAGTTTCAACTATAGTTAGATTATTATTATTATATTATTATGTGAAATTTTCCCTGGAACATTTTGTTTGGATACTAAATATAAACTTTAGAGAGCGACCAGATAAAGGTTTTTGTCAGAAGTAGTATACATCAGTAATTTGCTGTTATCCAACGAATCTAGTTTGATGCTGTTGAAAACCAACAAACACAAGTTGTGAAATACTTGATAAGTCAGGACGTAAATTTAAATTTAAAAGTAAGTATAAAGTAATTGTGTCATTGGTATTTAATACAACGTTTGAACCAAGTGGTCAATGTGCCTTTACTCGAACATAATGAGAGTATTCTGACTGTACCAAACACCACATGTACTTTCCTGCATTAGGTTTCCTCATGTAGTAACATTGGATCAATAAGAGATAACCCTGACTGGACCTCTAGGGAGAACAGTTTAGAACTGATAGAGCTATCCAGTATAAATAAAGTTAGTTTAGTTTAGGTTTCCTCCTGTAGTAACACTGGATCAATGAGAGATGATTCTTACTGGACCTCTAGGGAGAACAGTTTAGAACTGATAGAGCTATCCAGTATAAATAAAGTTAGTTTAGTTTAGGTTTCCTCCTGTAGTAACACTGGATCAATGAGAGATGATCCTTACTGGACCTCTAGGGAGAACAGTTTAGAACTGATAGAGCTATCCAGTATAAATAAAGTTAGTTTAGTTTAGGTTTCCTCCTGTAGTAACACTGGATCAATGAGAGATGATTCTTACTGGACCTCTAGGGAGAACAGTTTAGAACTGATAGAGCTATCCAGTATAAATAAAGTTAGTTTAGTTTAGGTTTCCTCCTGTAGTAACACTGGATCAATGAGAGATGATCCTTACTGGACCTCTAGGGAGAACAGTTTAGAACTGATAGAGCTATCCAGTATAAATAAAGTTAGTTTAGTTTAGGTTTCCTCCTGTAGTAACACTGGATCAATAAGAGATGATCCTTACTGGACCTCTAGGAAGAACAGTTTAGAACTGATAGAGCTATTCAGTATAAATAAAGTTAGTTTAGTTTAGGTTTCCTTCTGTAGTAACACTGGATCAATAAGAGATGATCCTTACTGCACCTCTAGGAAGAACAGTTTAGAACTGATAGAGCTATCCAGTATAAATAAAGTTAGTTTAGTTTAGGTTTCCTTCTGTAGTAACACTGGATCAATAAGAGATGATCCTTACTGCATCTCTAGGAAGAACAGTTTAGAACTGATAGAGCTATCCAGTATAAATAAAGTTAGTTTAGTTTAGGTTTCCTTCTGTAGTAACACTGGATCAATGAGAGATGATCCTTACTGGACCTCTAGGAAGAACAGTTTAGACCTAATGGAGCTATCCAGTATAGTTAAAGTTTAGGTTTAACACTGGATCAATATTGGATGTCTAGAGAGATCAGTGTAGAACCGACAGAGCTATCTAGTATTACTGACGTCACGTACGTTTTCTTGTTTGTTTAATTGTCGTTCTATGCATACACACTACATGCCATAAACATTTTAAATTTTCAGGATTCTCAAGGAATGACCGTGTTGCATGTCGCTGCTCAGAAATCTAACTTGGAAATCATCAACCTGCTCATGGACACACGCAAAATGAGTGTGAATGAACAGGATAGTGGGGGATGGACAGCGTTAATGTGGACTGCAGAGGGGAAACGTACGGATGTAGCGAAATGTCTGTTGAAATGGGGTGCTGATGTTAATATTTTAGATAGCGTAAGTAGAAGCCAATGTCTTTATTAAACTGCGTTCACACGGGAGCGAAATAATTTCCGTGTGTTCACACAACGCCATTACAGTTTGTTTACAAATTAAATTAGCACTCATGTAAAGCCAAAATATCTCAAATAGAGCAAAGAAATTAAACGAAAAGCATTCGAATTTACTGTTTTGAGACCAGAGATGTTTGGTTTGCAAGCGGTACAAAAAGATAACTCTCCGTTTTCATCCGTTTAGAAACTGTACTCAAATTGTTCCAGCAAAAGTGATGTTTTGAAACAATTGTGACTTTTTTGTTGTGCCGAGAATATGATGAAGCTTTCGTTGGTAGGCACAAGGAGAATTTCGGCGTTTCGAGCGAAGGCCCTTCGTTTGGAGTTATTGATGTTACTAACTGCAGACGAAGGGCCATCACTCGAAACGTCGAAATTCTCTTTCTGTTTGTCAGGTAGTTGAATTCCTACCAACGAAAGCTTGTTGAATCGGCCATTTTGGAGCAGCCCATGTGTTGAAATGTAGCGACTAAGCTAGTTTTCTTCTCCCTACAGGAGCAGAACACATGTCTCCACTGGGCAGCGCTGGCAGGCGGCACGGAAATCATGGATCTTCTACTCGAATCAAATGTTCATATTGATGCAAGAAATATGTTTGGAGCAACAGCACTGTAAGTAGAATATGATATCTTGTTAAACGTTGTAACATAGAAGTGGTTAGTCTCTCTCGCAAGTCGCAGCCTGTTCGTGGGTGACAGTTCCCACTCCCGCGAACAGGCTGCGAGGGAGACTAAGAAGTGGCCTTTCACACATATTGTGATCTGCGAGGACACCAGGAGATTTTGAAACCGAAGGCATGAAACCCAAAAAAACTGATAAAGTGGGGTCCTTCTGTGTCACTTTCTGACGAACATTCCTGAATCTCATTCATTCAATTTTTTCTAGTCACATCTCAGCACGAGAAAAAAAACTTCCAAACCTCAAGTAGGGAATCTTCAAATATTTGATTTTGTTTTTATCTGCTTTGCACTCATCAGATACTGTGATTTTTAGAACACTTGAAAAGTACCGTCCTAATATGGAGATCAGAAACGCCGAGGGAAAGAAAGCACTAGAAGTAAGAATTGCATGTTCCCATTGTTAACCCTTTGAGTGGCAATGCTCTCCCTGATGCACTGCTACTTTATTGTCTTACTCTGTCTAACACCACAGAAGATTCTACTCATCAAGGGGAGAGTGCTGTCACTCAGTGGGTTAACTTTCTGCTTTGCATGCCAGTCTTTGTACCTTGAGAAAATCTATGACTTTCAGGAGAGTGTTGACTAATTATTTTTACTTAAGTGTCTCTCCAGTTCAAACCCACGAGCTTGCTCTAATGATTACTCACCGTTCATATATTTTATCTTCCTTTAGCTTGTTCCGCACAACTCCAGATGTTACCGTCAGTTGGAGAAGATGGAAATGTTAATGAGCTTCGCAATGTGTACTTTAAAACAACGTCTGATTTCACGGTAAGATTCATCCTATCTGTCTACAATAATATGTTACTTGCGACACTTTAACTCATTTAGTTGCATTGCGCTCGGATGTACCCTACTTTATTATTTTACTCTGTCTATAATGAGTAATGCCAGAGAAAAGGCAGAGTGTTGTCACTCGATATGTTTAATGGTTTTCCTACTAGGGGACAAAGTAAGACACACCCCTCCACTGTTGGCTAATACTACTTGAAGAACTCGTCTCACATGTAAACAACTGCAACTTGCAAGAACAAAACTGCAGTCATAGAGGTGGTATAACCATGCACTCCAACAATCTTCACTCGTCTATTTCTTTATTATTGCAGAGATATCTCGAGAGGACAAGAGAAAAGACCAATTCCTTGTATAAACGAGGTAAGAAAGGTTCGAACCTACATGTTGCTGCTTTCTCAGTAATTTTTCAAAAATTAAAACGATACTCCAAAATTTTTGCTTGTTAGGATTGCTCAAAAAATGTAAACAAACTTTTAAAAAATTTTCCTCCAATGCACCCCCTTTGGCATGTGGCCCCTATGATTCTAGCTATAGGAAAGCATGAAACGTCAATGTTTACCAGACTTTAATTGTTCAGGTTGATGACGAAAACCTTCCAGACGACTTTGTTTATGTCAGTAACAATTTAGAAAGTAAAAGTGAAGGTTTTGATCGTTCCACGACGGTAAGTAGCTGTTATAAAATAACATGTATATAACGCGTGCTCTGATTGGTCGAAACCTGTGTTTGGATCAGGCCATCCAAACACGGAAATTTAAAGTGAAAGTTTTATAAAGTGAAATTTTAACACGGAAAGTTGTTATTTTATAAAACAATTACTTTATGGTTTCCGTGTTTGGATGGCCTGATCCAAACACTTGGGGATGTTGCTCGAGTTAAGAAAAGCGCGCAAAATCACTCGCCTTCGGCTCGTGTTTCGCGCGCTTTTCTTAACTCTCGCAACATTCCCGCGTGTTTGGATCAGGCCATCCAAACACGGAAACCAAACAGGTGGGAAATTTGTCGTCGCTGACCAAAAAATCGCGGGCAGAAACAAAGGTCATTGCATTTTATACATTCAAAACAAAGCAGAAAGTTAGCAAGAAGCTGTTTTAGCTGACGATTTTTTGCTTTCCATTCAACGATTTACAAATTAACGGTTATTCTTTTAAAAGTCGACTATGAGTTCTTTGGTTTGGGACATTTGTTTTGTAATCGAGTGATTGGAAGAAGTTAATATGGCGACGTGAACATGGGAGTAAATACCGTATACGTCGATCTGTGGCTTGTTTAAAACCGTAATAAACGAAGAAAGACGTGATATGAGAATGAAATGTAAGTTGAAATTAACTTTATATGCCTCAAATTTTCCATCCTATGTTTCTTAATGTAACTTCAGCTGTCTAAGTTCAAAATACAAGCTCGCGAAATTTGACAAATTTTGAAAATATGCAAAAATAGCTTGACTTTGAACTGTATTTTCTCAAAAATAGCCCGTGGCCTCAATTTCAAATATCGGTAAATGAAAAGAAAAAACTTTTAGGTGTTTGTAGGTATCAAACATATCGTCAGGAAAATAGGGGCTCACAATGTTTTAGCTCAGTCTTTGAGACCCAGTTGCTTCGCACGTGTTGTTGTCAAATTTTTGCCAAGAATCAAAGGCCGAAATGTGAACTTCCTTCATGAAAACCGCTTCGAGAAGGGTCTAGTTTGAAAATTTAGCTATTAATTTCGATTTCGTGAGCATATTTTGGTTACACGTTAAATATTTTTGTACTTGATGAGATTCAAAATTTGTTGTATATTCAAGCCCGGCTTTAGTGCAATTTTGGTGATGACCGGAACAGAAATAAAGATATTTTAAAAACTGGCCGTGGCCTCACGATAAAACTTTCTGAAAATGTTCTCTGTTTCATGTATTTTTATTTGATATC